AAAAAAAAAAAAAAAAAAAAAAAAAAACAAACATAAGGGAATTTTGAAAAAAAAAAAAAAAGGAGAAAAAAAAAAAAAAAAACCCCCCCCCCCCCCCCCCCCCCTTTTTTTTTTTTACAATTTGAGGTAATCATACTTTAAAACAGAAGACTTATGCTTTCCGTACTGGCGCCTGGAGCGGCGCCACGTGACGTCACTAATTATCGCGGAACGCGACAAGACGCGCTCCCGCGTTGGTTGCCTACAGCAGATGAGCATGGGACATACCTCGAGTTTTTTCTAGGGTTCTGGAATAGATATACTTTGGTACTCTGCTGGCTGGTTTGTTTAATTGTGCATCACCCAGACTGGGACAGCGTTCCAGTATTCTTCAACTGTCATCAGCCGGTTCCTAGAGCCAATGCGGCTTTTATGTCCATACCTGGCACGATCACAAACAAGATTGGCACATGCAGCCAACAAACAGACTATACCAACTTCAATTTTTCCTTTAATATCGAGTGCTTCTCTTCGACCTGGTGGTTTTTTAATGACCATGGCGCATAAGAACTCTGCCAGACAAACCACGCTGGGGTACGTGCCACTAAGGGGGTTTTATTCAGCTCCTGAGTAACATATTTATAGAAAGTTCTTTGGTGGTGGAAATGATAACGCTTCTAATCCAAATAAGCAATCCACTTTATCATTCTCGTCGCGGAGAGAGAATGTCCCGCCTAATAATGAGGAAGAGTTGGAAGACACCCTCCCTGTGACACCAAAAAAGCGTATCGCTACTAGGCCCATAACGTCCCCTCCTGCAGCCCCAGGAATTAGCTCAGTTGATGAAGGCATCAAAATTGAAGAAGCAAGGCCCGAAAGTGCATCTCCAAGTTCAGGTAGACTCAAACGGCAAAAGCACTCAGTAGACGAAGAAAGCGGTGGAGATGAGAGTGAGCCTGTTACCAAAAGAGCTCGGAGTTCTAAAAGAGATGTTGGAGAAAAGATTATTGCCGCTAACAGAGGCCAGAAACGACCACACAAGCAAAGCAGTAGTCCCAAAATCTCTTCCAGCAAACCATTAAAGCCAGAAAAACAGACAAATGGTGCGGAAGTGGCAGAAATTGAATCATTGACATCCGAGAAGGAGGATTTGCTCTCAGAAAGCAGTTCAGAAGAGCTAGATATGAATACTGAAGAGAAAGAAACGAGAAAGAAGGCCAAATCGAAGCAAAGGGAAAAAGTACAACTTACACTCAAAGGTGATGAAAAGGATCCATACCCCGATTGGACAGCCGGAGACCCTGTTCCATATGCGGCCCTTTGCACTACCTTTTCCTTAATCGAAATGACGACAAAGCGACTCGTCATTCTTGCTCACTGCTCCTTATTTCTGCGTCAGGTTTTACGGCTGACTCCTGGTGATTTCCTTCCAACTGTTCAGCTAATGATTAACAAACTGGCTGCCGACTATGCTGGCATTGAACTTGGAATCGGTGAATCCCTAATCATGAAATCCATCGGCGAGTCTACTGGGCGTAGCCTTGCCGTTATCAAAGCCGATCAACATGAGATTGGTGATTTGGGTCTGGTCGCTGCTAAGAGCAGGTCCAACCAGCCCACTATGTTCAAACCGAAACCGTTGACTGTGCGTGGTGTTCACGAAAGTCTTTTGGCCATCGCAAAGATGCAGGGCCATGGATCCCAGGATAAGAAAGTCGGAGGCATCAAAAAGCTGTTATCAGCCGCCGATGCTGCCACCGCTGGAAAGGGTTCTAAGCCGATAGACATCACCAAAGATAAGGGCGGACCAAGTGAAGCTAAATATATTATTCGATTTTTAGAGGGAAAACTTCGATTGGGGCTCGCTGAAAAAACTGCTCTCGTCGCTATAGCCCACGCTATGGTTAACCATGAAATTTCGCAGAAAGGCAACAAGATTCCCAGCACAGAACAGCTGGCGAAAGGCGAAGCTATTTTGAAACAAGTATATAGGTGAGTGGCTTATTTAAGGGTTTTTTTTCTCTTTTCTAATATCAATATTTCTAGCGAGTTGCCCTCCTACGAAGTCATTATCCCAGCGATGCTTGAGCACGGAATATTCAATCTCCAAGATAATTGCAAATTGCAACCTGGGGTTCCCTTAAAGCCTATGTTGGCTAAACCCACTAAGTCTATTTCTGAAGTTTTAAACCGTTTCGAGGGGAAAGACTTTACCTGTGAGTACAAATATGACGGTGAAAGAGCACAAATACATTTTGTCTCGAAGGACGCAATAAAAGACTACGCCGTTACAACGACAACGTTGCAGAAGGATGGTAACAGCCTCTGCGCGATATTTTCTCGAAATTCCGAAGATCTTTCCAAAAAGTATCCAGATGTTTTGGAGAAATTGGAATCTTGGGTTAAACCAGGAACAAAAAGTTTTGTTGTTGATTGTGAAACAGTTGCTTGGGATCTTGAAAACAAGAAAGTTCTCCCATTTCAGCAATTGATGACTCGAAAGAGGAAAGATGTGAAGGCTGAGGATATTAAGGTGAAGGTCTGCGTCTTTGCATTCGACATTCTATTTTTGAATGGAAAGGTGGGCTGATTCTCATCAATATAATATAATATATTAAACTAACACATGTATATATAGCCTACTGTGAAGAATACCTTCCGTGAGCGCCGCGCTCTTTTACATGATACTTTCATTCCAACTGAAGGAGAATTTGCTTTTGCACAGTACGACAATACTAATGATCTGGAGGAAATTCAATCGTTACTAGAAGAGAGCGTAAAGTCATCCTGCGAAGGCTTAATGGTTAAAATGCTTGATACTGAGGAGAGTGGCTACGAACCCAGTAAACGCAGTCGTAACTGGCTCAAAGTAGGTGGCGATATATTTTACCTTGGGTTTTTATTTTAAGACTATTGTTGACAATATTTTCTTCAGGTCAAGAAGGACTATCTTGCGGGAATTGGAGATTCACTCGATCTTGTTGTCATTGGCGCATACTTTGGCAAGGGCAAACGTACATCCGTCTACGGAGCTTTTCTTCTTGCTGCTTACAACCCCATTACCGAAAAGTACGAAACAATATGCAATATTGGTACCGGATTTTCTGAAGCTGTACTTGATGAAGCCCATCAAACACTCAGTCCTCTAGTAATATCCGAACCAAAACCATTTTATTCGCATTCTGCCGTCCCCAAGGACCAGCCAGACGTCTGGTTTGAGCCTCGGCTTGTATGGGAGGTCAAAGCCGCCGATTTGACCATCAGCCCCCGATATAGGTGTGCGAGCGATGAAATAATGGGAACTGCGGGTACAGGAGCGGATGGAAAGGGTGTCTCGCTGAGGTTTCCCAGATACATCAAAGCGAGAGAGGATAAGAAGCCAGAGCAGGCTAGTACAACCAAAATGGTGGCGGAGATGTATCGAAGGCAGGAGAGCGTATCGAAAGATGATAAATCCAAAGGGGGAGTGGATGATGATTGGGAATATTAAACCAATCTATCTTTCACACGCCACATCTTGGAATCCTTACTTTATTCCTCTTTGAATTACACAATGTACCGTATATAAGAATACAATATAAGACAGCTTGATAATACACGAGAGGTATGACCCATAGGCTATGGCATCCATCTTATTGCCCCTCAGGACAAAACACCAATAAATCCCGATAGATCTGTCTGAATAACGTCGATCAAGGAAACTAATTGCATAAGTTCGGAAAAAAAAAACCAACCAACCTCACCTCTACACCTATTGAGAACCAAATGTCTCAACACATAAAAAATGACCACCTAAGCTAAAACAGCATGGGATGCAAAAGCGTGAGTCATAGAGAGTAGATCAAAAAGATGTTTAAAGGTTGTACACTAATAATGGGGGAATAGCTCGTAGAATGATAGGCAAAACGTGTCTCAGTTATGAGGCGGATTTCCGTATTTCTGAATGTAATGAGGAATAAAGGCTTCACTCCTCAAGTTTTCTTTTCAAGCCATTAGCGCTAGGCTGAGATGTTCCGTTCGGCCTTTTTCTAGCTGCTTCTTCTTCAGCCTGTCTCTTTTTCCAAGCAGTTTTGATAGCTGGTGCAGCTGCAATGAGGTCTTCTTCTGTCACGCGATCCTGGATACTCTCCATTACCTTCTCGACAGTTGAGATGTGATTTGCATCGTTCTTATCGTCACGGAACCGTAAGAAGCGCCAGCGGCCAGGCTCATCAGGATAGCATTCAACAATTGTATCGTCGAGTGGTTTCCCTAGACCTTTCAGGTCTTCCCATTCTGATTCTTCAAGGTGCATGGTGCCAAAATGTCGATAATCGTTTTGTCTGTATAGCACGAATAGATGGCAGGTTGGAATGGAATCATAATCAGGGAAGGTCTCCGTCAAGCCATCTGCTTCATCTTCGGAATCTGGGTCCACCATCGGAAATTCCAATCTCATGCGAAAGTCAATGCTGTTTTCCTCTGGGGGTTTCCACTTTAGTATATGTTCATCCGTGCCTATTTTATATGGGGTACTTCGGCAGGTGAAAATAAGTCCATCATTTCCGTGGATCTTCTTGACCTTGGGAATAATATCTCGAAACATCATTTCTATGCCATAACTGAATTGGGTAGACTTGTCCTCAACGGCGAATGCCCGGTGCTGCTTCTCTTCTGGAAACTTCTTGTACATCGCATTATATGGCCTTAAGACTTTCTCCTTAAAATAAGCCAGCCTCTTATCGAGCGTGCGATGCATCAGGCTCATCCCATCCAACACCAGGCAGTCGAAGACGTAAAATTTAAGCTGCTCCGTCCCATCCTCATATACATCATTCACCAGCTCCCCATCAATCAATGTATCCACATGAAACTTCTGAAAAGTATCATCGCCCGGCAGGGGAAAATGTAGGCCCCGAACGTATCGATAATCGTTCTTGCGATCGATCAGGTAGTGTATTTCCGGCGTCTCGGAGTCAGGATCCCCACGCGCAAAGTACATAAGACATCGTATACCGTCTGTTTTTTCGCAAACATAATAGTCCCTCCTCTGCAACTCAGTCAAATGTTGTGACGAGAAGCTCACGGGTTGCGCGCCGGGGAAGCTGAGCGAGTTGCGGCCGAGGAGGTGTGCGACTTCGCGACGGAATTGGTCGGCAAGCTCATGCTCTGCTTTCATGCCTATCGACTCGAGGTCCGGAACCGTACTGGCCATGATGCATGGGTTCGAGCCGGCCTTTTCTACCTGGCGATCGCCCGACGGATGCCTCCACCCCGTCTTCTGTTATGTTGGTTGCGCTCTAGACAACTCGATGCGACTGCGACCTGTTCGTGTCGGTTGGCGACAGGAAATGCAGTGAGAGGGAAAACAAAAGAAAAGAGGCGCAGATACGGGTACACTTGGGTACTAGATTGCTGGAGTCCCTGCTTCATGTATTGTGTTCGGCGAAATGAGGTGCTGTGGATGTTGTGTTTCTGAACCTGGAAGCTCAGCGGCGCAAAAGTGACTCCAACAAGCAACTCAGAGAAGGTCCAGGAAACTCAACTTCAACCATATAGTTATTAATACATAGTTACTTTTAGAATCGCTTGACTCGTCTGAATGTCCGTGATAAATTTAACTATTACTGCCTATGCCCTTGATTATCTAAACCTCGCCGATTATGGTAAGTAACATAAAAATGCCTCGATTTAAATCTGATGCCAGGTACTCCGTATGCAGGCGCTTAAAGGGTATCATAATACATATGTAGTACAGAAAATTCCATTAAACGCCCGTCACTGACCCATTCCAAAAAGCCGCCAGCCCGCATTCATGCAAAGAGCAAAAAACAAATGCATAAATCACAAAAGCAAGATGAAACTCAAGAGATACTGGTCCCAGTTGTCGCCCTTTTCACAGGTGCATTGGGAGTATTATTCCTGTTTTGCAACCCATGCTGTGGTAACGGTTTTCGAGACGGGTCAAGCTGTTGTGAAGCCCCATCCCCAGCAGAGCCGGGTACTGGCGAGGGGATGGTTGTGGGCTCAGACTGAAACGGGTTTCTTCCTTGCTGAGAGCTATTGTCGGGCGAGCCGAAAAAGTTTCCGGAGCCAAATACTTGGGAAAGCATCTCCTTCATTCGGACAAGATGATATTTTCGTCTCGTGGGAATGAGGGAGTGTGTCACTAACGGCTGAGGCCGTGAGCGCAAAATCCCGGCCATCACAGCATCTTTCTCTTCGTCTGAGTCAACCGGCCCATTTCCATCCAAGTCATCGTGGACGGGGGCATTGGCATCAATGGCCGCCTCTATGATGGATATCAGTATTACATGCGGCTTACAGGCCGAAATTGTAGAATAGATAACAATGAGGGTACGAAACCTACTTTGTTGCCGTGCTTGATTTTTCTTTTGGTAGGCTTGCAAGAGCATATCATAAGGCAATGACCGGCCCGGAACGGCTCTCTTTGCACCCATTGAATGACTTTTGCAGGTCAACGACCTAGCACACTGACCTCCATTTGGAAGGATAACACCACATTGTTTCTCTACATCAACGGGACCTTTCGGTTTCGGTACTTTCGGCTTAGGCTCATCTTTCTTTTTCTTCCTTTTAGGTTCCTTGTCGTCGTCTTCGGCCTTTCTTTTCTTCCCCTTTTTTGGCCCATCCTCGCCAGCATTCTTCTTGGCACTCTTTTGGCCTTTCATAGCGCCATCTCCGTCATCGTCGTTTCCCTCCTTATCCGCCTTTTCCTTCGCCCGATTGGCATCCCTAGCTTCTTTCTTCTTACGGGCTTTTTCCTGCTTTGCTTTCAAACATCCTCGAATATGCTCTATAGCACTTTGTTTCAAGACCGGCCGTTTGCAATGTTTGCAGATGACGGTCTCAAGAGGCGTTTCCCTTGGTTTCCCAGTCGGAAATGAAGCCATAGTTTTCTCGTCTACCATGGGTAGAATAGGTGAGGATGCAGCGCTGGAATCAGCGTTTCCAGACTCTGCACCTTTCGTCCCTATAGATGCGGGGATATAATTAGTAAGTCTGGCTCACGAGAGCAAACTTGGACAGGATATGAATAGCGACTGCAGAACGCACCATTCGTGGGGTTAGAAGCAGTCTTCTTAAGCTTTATTTTTGTCTGTTGCTTGTTTTTCTCGCTATATTTATATCCGGAAGCATCAACGAAACTAGCCTCAGAGCCTGAAGCAACTGATGACCCTGTGTAAGATGGGGTGGGACGACAAGTTAGCATCTGCGCATTGGTAGCATCAGATCACCTCGCGGGCGTCCGGTGTTATAGTTGCGATAAAATGAGGAGGCGGCAACTCACCTCGTCCATTCGAAGCCATCGTTCGTAACTGACGATCGGGCTCGTCGCTATCCTCCGTTCCTCTGGCCATGACGACCGGCGATTCCACGTGACAGATAGGGCTTGGCATAAACCCCTTGAATTTGTTGGATGACTAACTGACCGTCACGGAGGTAATCATGTGACGTATCAGGTGACCTGGAGTCAGATCCATCAAGTTTGTCATTTTTGCTGTTAGGGAACATTATTGCTCCGTCCCGACCAGGCTCCCTGACCACACATGAACTACTCCGTACAATCCTCATCCTCCGTCCATCTCCGTTTCTCGAGCCTTCTATATTTCCCCCATAACAGATCATATACATTGCCTTAGCCCCCCTCTGTACGCAAACTAGTGGCATCGGGGCATTCGCACCATCGACGGAGCCATCGTGATTGGATCATGCATCCTTCGCCCTCAAATCCTCACGCGGTATCAAACAACAACTGGCCATGGTACTTCTGATGCACCTCCCTTGACTGGGAATACTAAGGCTCTCTCAAGATGCTCTCTCAAGATGCTCTCTCACGTGCCCCACCGTGCCAACAATTCTGCGATGCAAGGTTTTCCAATTGGCCAACCCTTGAGCAACTGCTGGCATGCATCGATCCGTACGGCTTCCGCCAACAAAAATCTAGAATTTTCGGCTCGGACCGGATCGTTCATGTGTTGATACCCAAGGTTCAGGATGACCAAGAATGAAGCTGTAACAAAAGACTTGTTCTTAAAGGATGCATTCGCCTTTTTGACTTGGCCAGCCTTCGCGGTCAACCTGTGTGACCGCTTCTTTTGAACACAGCAAAGGAGAGTGGGCGCATTAAAGTCAATTTTGTTTTTCTTTTCCACATTTGATTTATGCCGGAAGAGACCGTGCTGCTATACCTATCCAAGACCCCGCCTAGTTGATACTCGACCCCTAGGCTATAACCCGCCTCTACCAGGTACTCGGAAACCTCACCGCTTATTTATATCATAACGCATCTAAGGGTATGGACTTGATAAAACGCCATGGGTTCTTTGGCAAGAGGCTCACACAGACTTAGGACATAACATGGCCGAGTATCCCGCTTCGCTCATCCCGGGCATGTTTGTCAACGCAGTGGATGGAAATATACTAGAAGTTCAAGCATTTATGAATGAATTTATCGGAAAGATCCTGAAGGAGGCGGATTGCAACGCCAAAGTGGTGTGGGATATACCAAGCAGAGAAGATGGCACTGAACGTAGCAGACACTTTGAGATTCTACGTAACGGTTTTGTCCTTTGTTATGGGGCGGTGTCATCAAGTGAGACAGTTGATGACATGAAGGTCGTAGAATCTCACCGACTCCATAGGGAAGTTCTTCGTCCCCGATCTCGTGACGCTGGGTATATTTTTGTGGCTAAAAATACTGGGGAGGGGCTGAAACTTGAGTTTGCTATAGCCCGCTGTGTTGAAGGTGACCTTGATATTTTGCCGGCGCTGGTGGATCCGAATATGAGCACTGTATACCTGGATAAGAATTATCCTCGTGAGGGTCCTAAGGAAGCCTTTCGGGCCTTTCTTGCTGCGTGCATTCAGTTGCTCCCTGTCCCCACTGCTTGAATTTAGTGATCATCGGGAAGTTTGTGACCGAGGTTCTCATATTGAGGTTTTACTCCGTACCTTTTGTAGCTGCCTACCGATCTTAATTCTTTCCTTACAGCAGCCAATCAAACCAATGTTATCCAATTCTTGCTTCATATATTAGACTGCCTTCTATACTTAGCTGCCGTTCTTCCAATGTGCAACGAGATCGGTCGCTCCTAGATCAGGTCTAGAACAGCGAGTACCATCTATTAGAACCTTTAGGCAGAGCAACGAGATGGCATCGCGGCGGAAGCAACAAAATTGAGAAACCGGCACCAGAGAGAGGGAGCGCGGCATCATCCTTCACCTAACAATGATAGTTGTCGAATTTTTTGAAGTATTAGAATGGAAATTCCTGACTACACAGTGTTTTTAAGACTTGCTTTATTCGAGACCACGACACCAATGTGAAGAGGAACAAATGCATATGTTTTACCCCACCAGATTCCCAAAACATTCTCAACTAGATTTGGCCCATCAAGATGGATGCAATGCGGAGGAAATGGAGGTCTCCACTGGCCATTGATTTCAAACTAATTTAAGATTAGTAGGGTACAAAACTTGAGTGACCTTTGTGGACATACCTGCAAGTATGAATATTGAAATATGTGTTGGACAACTTTAGCCCCACAGAGGGTATATCTCAAAGACTGTGGAGGATAGGGAAAACAAACAGAATAGTGTTTGTTTTGAGGATTTGAGGCATTAACCACAATTTTAGTGATACCAAGCTGCAGAGGCTCAACTGTAAAGCAGATGTTCTTCATTGTTGCAAAAGGTATGTAAGTTGCTTGTGTAAAGTAGGCAAATGGGGCAGAAGACAGTGTAAGTGTAGACTCCACAGGGAATGAAGAATCAACCCAACAGTTTTGTGGTGGAGCTGATTGACTGTGGAAATACGGTTCTGCTCCAATCCTATTAAGGGGGATGATCGCTCGGCATTTTAGAGACTGTGATGTGGAGTCAGTATAGCCCCAAAGAGAAGAAAATGACAAGGGGTGTTCTTGCATCTCGAATAATTCGCAGATTATGTGTATCTGCACATCGGATCACAGAAATTTTGCCTTTAAAGGGATAGGTGTGGTTATTAAGAATCCATTTTGGCGCAGCATGGTGTTGTTGGAATGCAATATCTACTACGCCTGGTTCATCACTTTTGATTGCAAGATATTCACATTCATTGAGCCTATAATCTCTGTTCATCTTCTGATCTATCCCACTGCGCATAGGACTAAGGGCTGTTGACCTCACTGACGGGAATAGCATAAATTCAAATGCAGCCACAGCCAGAAATAAAATGTACGCAGATTTCCACTTCTGCAAAAACACGCAGATCAGAAAAACAGGCCCAAGTGCCAGTGCGATATATCTTAGGGTACGGCTGTAGGCTATAGACAGGTCCTCCTGGGGTATATGTCCCAGGTTGGCTTTGCTGGTTATATCTCCGATGTAGGTGCGACCACCGATGATGACCAGATGGATCCGGATCATGTTGTCATAAACCATCAATTTCGTTTCCGAAAGCCTATGTTCAGGGACAGCTCTGAAAGCTTCATTGTTGGAGGAGAATTGTGTTGCTGCCCTCATGACATATATCAGACGTCCAATGTTGTACTCAAATATTTTGCCTTGAATCTCCAACGGTAACCGGTGATACCACCATCCTAACGGTTGCTCAATGTCCCTTTTTTCTGCCCTGTGGTCCTGGTTTTCCAAGTCACATTGAAGTGGTATAGCGTTGGGTGGGAGGAGGTGGGAGGGAGGTGGGAAAAAAGCACCATGTGTACTTGGAGGAGGCAGCGAACGTGAGTGAAATGTTGGCTCAACCACATCAATCAAAAGACGGAGCTGCGAAGGCGAAAGTTCTTGAACAAGTTGGTAGCACCTCCAGTGAATAAGGAATGACCTTTGCCAGTATGCAAGTGTAGGATATGTTTCAAGAGGGCCTGACCAAAGGCCCTGTATTGTTATCGCAGAGTTATTTTTAAGTTGCCAATCATCGTGGGAAAAGAGCTTCGTGTAAGCTGGATGCAGAGGGAGTACATAAAACCGACCTCGCTGTTTTACTTCAACATCTTGCTGGCATAGCGGACATGGGCGATAATAAAAGCCCTTCATTTTGAACCAACAGTGATAGCGGATGTAGAATTCCAGAAATGATCACGTCGGGTCACAGGAATATGTATTTCCATGGCCATCGTCGGGTAGCACAAGGCGCTTCACCAATTGATTGACTCCCAACTACTCCGTACAGCGGACAAATAGTTATCCGGCCACTGAGACAATACTACCTTCATTTACATATGCAGAATCCAATTCCAAAGATTATGGCTGCCTAGCTTCCCCAGATCAAGGGTATTCTGAAGTTGGTACTGGCGAAGAGTGCGGTAGACTTCACCATCAGTGGTAAGTGTCTGTGCAGTCGGGCACTTTTAGCGCAGTTGAGTCCCTGTACGGAGTACGGAGTAGTTATTTCTTCCTGTAGTCGTATGTGCTATTGTATGTAGTTAGTTAATTTCTCGTCTGCTGAGAATATAAGGACCAAAACACCAATATTAACTAACTAGTTAAATAACTAACTAGTTGGTTAACCTAAATTAGACTTCTCCGTATGGTCCATCGTCACGGTCCAACGCGCTATAGTTACCTACAACATTTCAACCTTGACCTACACTTCTGAGTTCTACTGTTGGCGAGAGATTCCTAAACGTATATCATATCCCATATCCTTCTCCATTAAATCACCAATGAACACTTCCTCCTTACCTCCCCATATCTTGAATGGTACATTAGAGTTAATATATCAAAAGCAGAGTGAATAGCGTCGATACATGTCTTCAAAAGAAGGAATGCTGGCTCTACGCGCCTCTGAAAACCCCAAGCATCCAGCACCAGTGTTCAAGCCAAATATTCTACCATGCAAGATCCATCACAATGGCCCAATAGACGTCTCCACGCGACACTGGGACCCAACGGCAGATAAAGAAAACCCACGTACGTTGCGGCGCCCCCTAAAACACTATCTCGTCTTTTACGAATATACTCCGTATACTTCGACAATGGACAATTCACTCCTAAGCCCTCGTTTCCCGCTACTCTGGCGATTTTCGTATTCGCTAACATCGCCGGGCTCTCTAGAACTAGCCACATCGTATTTTCGCGGGCGAAAACTTCGCGGCAGGCGAGTCGCGCTGCCAGAAGGGTATCAAGGTATGCATTATTTGGTCTGTCTGCTTTATACGTGTCGTTTTAACATCGCTCCATTTGCAGGCGTGGTCGCTACACCCACGGACAAGAAGCTAGAAAAAAAGGCGCCAGATGATCTGCCCTATGGGAGCAGCCGCAGCTTGACTGGCGCTGACTGCGATGACCAGGGTGACGATGATGTTGAACCGCCTCCAACTATTCTAGAAATGCGAGGTACATTCAATGAGCTTATGGTGTGGGACCATGAGAGAATACCCGTTGCAGATGACCCGTTCGTGAAGGGCATAAGTGAGTGGGTGCAGTTTGCTGAAGTAGTGAGTTTCCCCTGTCTAATCGTTCAAGTCTGGTTTCCAAAGCTAAGTGATTTGGAGATGCACTCCGATGGCAGTCAGGCAGTTACTCCAAAGAATTAGAGTTAAGGTACGACTTGTTTCGTTACGTGATACCCCAACCACAATTGGCGTTTCTACCAATATCTATTATATATATACAGCGGAATTATAATGATGTATTTGAGAATTGCAAGAATTATGCTCCTTCACACGCCCACTTCTATGTAACTTGCTGTGTAGGATTTTGAATTCAAACATGCTCGAGGCCTTTTGGTCGGCCCATACCGAGACATTCAGCGATGCGGAAGAAGATTTCACCTGAGTCGTAGACTCCTGTAGGTTCAACATATATCAGTAACTTTTCACGTGCTTAGAAAGGAACAAGGGTCAACTTACCGCCGAATTTCTCCTGGCATGGACCCATGGCAAAGACTGGCACATCGGTCAGCGAATGAACACCTGACCTATCGCCTACTGGCAAAGTGCCGTTAATAACAAAGCCCGAAACGGCATCCTTGTAGTTCACGTAGTAGTCACCCGAGCCCTTGACAAGCTCAGAGACCGCCTGTCTTGATCCATCTTTGTGGACTTGATAATTTTCTCGGCGGTCAGGATTTGCGACAACGCCCGAGTGGAGGGTAAATCTTGGGTCCCACTGGGCAGGGAAGTGAACGCCCTCGGAATATTTGAGGGAGGTGTTGGTTTGAACAGTATATTGCGACAAACCGGACTTCTCGTAAGTTCCAATGGCATTGCGCTTCTTGCGGTCAGTGTCTTGTGCGTCAAGATATTTGGTATCGACACCACCAGTAACATCAAATCCATGGCCATGGTCAGCAGTGACAACGATAAGAGTATTTTCGAGTTCACCCATGGCACGGAGTTTCTCGATGGTAGCTTTGATGGTGTCATCAAATTCAAGAAGTTCGCCAAGTGCGCGGTCGTAGTCCAAGGAGTGCATCTGCTTATCGATACTGGCGGCCTCGGACATGAGGAACCATCCATCCTTGCTCTTATTAGAACGTGTGTGAAGGATATCGACTGATTTTAGGGTCATTTCCTTAAGGCCCGGCTGGTCCAGAGCGTCTTGGCCAGAGCCGTCTGGGCTGTTACGTTGGCTCTTCAAGTTTTTCTTATACACATTGCGATCAAGCCATGTCTGCATAACACCAACAGTGAAAACCCCCAGAGCCTTGGTGTTGTTTGGGGCTTGAGCAAGGGTAGTAGCGTTCATACTGACACTGTAGTTTTTTTCTTTGAAAAGTTTGTAGTAATCCTGGCCCTTGTACGATTTTGCTCCAGGGAGGAAGTTCTCAGCACCACCACCAAAAAGAACATCTGGGCCATCCCATTTAGTCCAGGTGTAGTTGGTCAACCCATGATAATAAGTGTCAATCACGTGCTCGGCCTGCCCTCGATCACGAGTGTGAGCAGTCAAACCGGCAGGTGTAGCATCAGCTATGAAGCGCTACTTAGTACGGATTTCCATCTGGAGCGGTGTGGCCAAGAAACTTACCTAAATGGGCGGTAGAAACAATACCGATAGCACCACGGGGATGAATGCGATGAAACATTTCTGTCACAGACTCCACCTTTGGGTCATCAAAGGGATCCTTGGATGAATCAACGTAGACACCAAGCGCGTTGACGGTGGTCTTTTGGCCAGTGTACAAAGCGGTGGCAGAATTGGCAGAATCAGTAATGAAGGAGTCCATGGAATGGGTCATCTGGTGACCGAGAACGGGGAATTGGTCCATTTGCATTTTGGTCTTATACTTCCCATTGACCGACTTATGGGCAATCAGGCGTGCAGCCGTGATCATATTGGTAGTCATTCCGTCACCAATGAACATGATGACGTTCTTTGTCCTTCGGAAAAGGGACAGGTCTCTCACGGTCCAAGTGGCAGTGGTCGTCTTGCCGTTGTAATAGCACAACGTAGCTTCATACTCTCCAGGCTCGTACAATGCGACCCTTCGGAAGGCTTTAGCAGTGACGCGCACCACTGACGGCTTTTTGGCATCCTCCGCAAACAGATCTGGCGGACAGGAGTGAGAACGACGCGTGCCTCAATGACAGAAACGAGGTATGGTCACACGTACCTTCATACCATTTAAAGCTCCAAGTCTCCAGCTTTGGTTCTGAAACTCTGAAGAAGTCCGTGGCTTTCTGCGGCTTGGACTTACGACCCTTCCGGGCGATGGTGAAGGTGAAGTTTGGGTCTGGATCGCCGGACCGCGCCTCGGAGCCATTCACAGGCGAGTGCACCTCCAAACGGATATCAAAGTACTGCCCTGGAAGGAACTCCGCCCTGTGCCACAGCTGTTAGCCTCACAATGTCGCAGCCTGGAGGGGAAATCGCGTGCATACCGATCGGGGGGGAACACGCAGCCCAGCGTCGGACATCCACCCAGACGCTGGAACGTCTGCGCAAAGGCGGTTGCGGAGAAGAGAGCCGCGCCGGCTACGGATAAGAAGCGCATTGTCACAGAGGGCTGCCAGCTGGGAGACAGAGACAGACGGATCTGCGAGGACGCGAGGACGCGAGGTCAGAGAGAGGAGACGGGCAGCAGCAGTCGTAGGAGCAGGAGCAAGGTAGGATCGGGTCGCTTTTAAATAACTAGTTGCGAGCCGTCGGACTTCGTATGCGCAGCGCGGGCCCCTTGGCTGCCAGGAGCAGGACGGCCAGCCCGAGCCAGCAGGGCCAGCATGCCTGTCGTCGTCTGCCGGCGCGCGGCGAGGAAATTAATATTTTGGCTGGCGTGCGCAGGCGCTCCCACGTTCATGTGCGGCGCGCTCCACCGCGCCGGCCAATTTTGCGCTGCCGATCCCTGGCGCGCGGAGCGGGGCGACTCACGGCCGCCCTGCCCGGCACGTGCAGCCCCCGGGCCTGCTGCTTTGGGCTGGGCGCCGTGCCGCCCTGTGCCAACGCCGCCGCGCCCTCCAGCGCCCGCACTGTACGCCCGCCGCCCGCCGCCCATCACCAGTCGTGCCCGCGCGCCCGGCTCACCATGGCGGACGACAAGGCAGATTCAGCGGCCTTAATCCCGAGATTCCAGATCCGCCGGTTGCTGAACCAGGGTGAGCTGACCCCGCACCATGGTCCCAATAATGCGTTGACAGCCCCGATTGCTGCCAGACCAGAATGACCGCCGCATCACCATCCTCGGCGCCATCGACGGCCAGCCTGCCATCCTCACCATCGAGAGAGCCGCCTTCGTGCCCGATCTTGACGCGCTCCGTGCCTTCCACGCTGCACTAACCAACCTCACAAGCCTTGGTGCCAATGACATCTACCGCTGGTACATGGCATCGTCGGGCCCGACCGATGTCAACCCCCCTGACCTCAAGCTGAATCTTATCTGGCCCTGCACAGACCAGCACGTCCTGAAATACACCGCCCAGAACGTGCGCATGGTCACAGAATCTCCCGATATATATCGCCAATATGTGCGGCCATACATGCAGCAGAAGCGCGAAAACGGGCGTCTGAACTGGGTTTTCAATATCATCGAGGGCCGCAAGGAGCAGGAAGATGTGCTGTATCGGGAATCCGATCCACAGGAAGGTTTTCTGCTCATTCCCGACTTGAACTGGGATAGAAAGACCATCAGCAGCCTCCACTTGCTTGCTCTGGTGGAGAGGCGGGATATCTGGAGCTTACGAGACCTGAAGCCATCGCATGTTGATTGGCTTAAACACATGCGCCAAAAACTGGTCGACGCGGTCGTCAAAGTCTATCCAGAACTAGAAACCGACCAGCTCAAGCTTTATGTTCACTGTAAGCCAACCACATTTCCGTACCGGATGTCGCTGACATTGTGTAGACCACCCGACTTACTACCATTTCCATATTCATATTGTGAATGTGACGTTGGAAGCCGGGTCAACGCAATCCACCGGGAAAGCTTTTGGGCTGGAGAATCTGGTCTCTCAGCTAGAGACGATGTCCGGCGGCTTAGATCGAGGCTTGGCTGATGTATCCCTCTCCTTCTATCTTGGAGAATCCAGCGAGTTGTGGACTAGTGTTTTCGGGCCGTTAAAAAGAGGAGAGACCCCCAATATTCAGGGGTGATGCCTGCATGTCTTCTGTCACTAGAGTAGAACAACTCAATGGACACTAGATTCTCCTTCGCCCTTTATTGAAAACGTCGCCATATTATGATGTTTGGTATTGAGTTTTTATGGCTTTAGTTTCACAGAGGGCTCGTATAACTATGGGGTACGAAATTGGTTGCGGAACAGTCTCAACATCTCTTCCCTCAATACTGCTCCACAGGTCAAGCAACTTGATCCTAGCGTGGCACAAGTATTCTTCGCATATGGTTCTCTATATAACTTCTGTTAGTATCGGAAGAGCCCTACTCCGTAGAATCCTTGAATGCTACGCAGGCGAAGCAGAATGCTACTCAAAGCCAAGTGCCGACGCGTAGCCACTCTCCACACTCACTCCGCAATACAGACGCTCAGGACTCGGAGTAGCCAGCTTGACTTTAACTAGTCCTTTGAATAACTCGGAAGCGCACTAATCCTAGGCAAATTATGGGCCATTTAAAGCCATTGTTATAGCCTCGGCCAGGATGAAGAGGAGGCAGCAGAAATCGCGTGGTCGGAGAATATGAATGGTTAGTTAGTTAGCTCAGAGTTTTGCAGATCTATCTGCAATGCCTTCCTGGGGTCCTCGCATTCTTATTAAACCATGCGGGCTAATAATAATAACGCATGTTGGCTGTAGAAGAGATTGCAGCCTAAACAATGGCGGGAACTGTGTTCAAAGTCCTTCGATCGGATCAGAAGAACCCTTGATTATGTCATATCAAGAATGAGGTCATCATCGACATCCCACTTTCACCTTCTCTCCTCCTCTCTTTTCCCTTTGTACGGAGGACAGTGACTACACAGCAGCCGTTCTTCCGACTTGACCCTGCAAAATGGCGGATAACCCAGATTGCCCCAGCAATGCAAAAGCCTTTGTTCCTCTTGGTATGCCCCCCGGTCACTCGGCCCGCAGCCCCTACACCCTCATATCCGCAGAGCCATAATAATTGACTGGCTCGTTAATCCAAACTAGAGAACAACCCGGAAGTAATGACCCATCTTGTCCACCAACTCGGTCTTTCTCCATCCTTCGGCTTCTCGGATGTTTACAGCATCGACGATCAAGATCTCCTAGCCTTCGTTCCGCGCCCCTCACACGCGCTCCTTCTTGTCTTTCCTGTATCTCGTACCTACGAATCCGCCCGCATCTCTGAAGACTCTTCAAAGTCCGAATACACCGGCTCCGGCCCCGATGAACCTGTAACATGGTTCAAGCAAACCATCCGCAATGCCTGCGGACTCATAGGCTTACTGCATTCTGTTTCAAACGGAGAACCTCGCAAGAATGTATCCCAGGGGTCTGATTTAGAGAAACTCCTACGCGATGCGGAGCCGTTGGATCCGATTAAGCGGGCGGATCTCCTTTATGAAAGCTCTGCGCTCGAAAGTGCGCATGCGGATGCTGCGAAGAGGGGAGATACCGTTCCACCTGAAGCGGAGGCGAGTATTGATTTACATTTTGTTTGCTTTGTCAAGGGCAAGGATGGCAATTTATGGGAATTGGACGGAAGGAGGAAGGGCCCACTTGTCAGGGCGGAGCTGGATGCTGAAGAAGATATGTTAAGCCAGAAGGCTTTGGATGCCGGAGTTCGGCAGCTGTTAAAAAGAGAGACCGCTGCTGGTGGTGGTGATTTGAGGTTTAGCCTTGTGAGCTTGGGGCCATTGTTTGAGTGAGATACGCTTCATGGCTAGTTATCCCATATTTTGCTTTCTATATATGCCTGGTCATATATTGAAGTAACAAAGTCTGAAAATTTCATTCAATTGGATATCCTCCCTAAAGGAGGGGATATTTTCTATGTGAATTCGAAAAATGCATATGTAAACCCAAGAGAGCAATTGTTATGAGGGCATGCAGTACTTATGGCTTCAGCAGTATCACATTTCACATCTACGGGTTCAATACTAAGCCCACCAGCCATCCCAATTGAACCGCAGCACCTCATCCCCGCAGGACCACCAGCCTGCGGTAAGATTTCTAGCAAATACTTCTAGAGCTTTATACCCTTCTAAATAATCGGCATTGAAGAAATGCTGCTCCACTAGTTCTTTCAGATGTGGCTTGCGAGAATGTATATCTGGTACTCCAACAATTACCCTCCGTCGAACCGTAGGTTTTTCGTCTTGTGTGTTTGATGGCTTCCTACCCAGAATCAGTACTTCATAAGGCTGTCTCCACAGCCCACAAATGGGCGAAACCGGGACACCTTTGGAAGTAGTCTTGACCCAGATCCATTCCTCAAATACCTGTAGACCAGAATTCTCTAAGGATTCACGAGCGGTAGAACGGGAATTGACATTATTGGTTGTCCATATTGCGGCAATTCCCACTTCCGGACGAAGATTCCTCTCTAGTATACCACAAAGCAGCGTCTGAAGGTGATTGAAAGTTGGTGTTGTTTGGTAGTGCGCCGAACGTCGAACGGACCGATTAGGCCAGGGTGGATCCATGAGGATAAAATCAAATATTTTCCCATTGAAGAATATTATTGGAAGTTCTGGCAAATGGTTAGGTTCCGTTGGCAGATGGGTGAGAACAAAAGTGGCCTGTGGAGGAACCCTAAACCGCTCCGTATGGAATGGCATTGTTTTTCCCATCCGTTCTTCAAGAAGATTCTCATCAGCGCTTGTAGTATAATAGTTTTTCACTTGTAAAATAGCTGCAGATATTGAATTATTTTTGACAGCTACTGTTTGTATAGAATTTAGTCCAGGGAGCATATTCACGCCAGGGGCAAGGACCAGTGGAGGTGCATCCGCCTCGAAGCAGGTGGCAGTAATGCTGAGATCTGGTTCTATAGAACATTGGGCATTCGTGACAGTCGCGTCTCCATCTACACGACCACGCTTCCGCGGTCTTTGCAGAAGCCTGGGTTGAACTGCCCGTGGAAGACAGTACTCCCCAACAAAGTTGGTTCGCAGCTCACACATTGTCTCGCGGACAAAGGTTGCAATCTGCTTTCGATATTCCAATTCGCAACTTGGAATGCTCTCCATGACCCTTAGCATTGCTTTCGCCCCCTTGGGTTCGGTTGAATAGGGTATTTCCGAAGGAGGGCAAGAAAAAATTGTAGATGTTTCTTCCAGATTGTCCACATGTGCAGCGCCGCTTGAGACTCGAGGATGTTGTGCCAGGCTGATAGAAGCGGGAATGTCAAGAACATATAGGTTCTGACAATTACTCTGGTAGAGGATTGCTGAATGGTTCCTGGGGGTAGGGCGAATTTCTGGTGCCATTCTTTGAAGTCGACAGCTGTGTAGTTAGTAACTAGCATGTGAGTTTGATAAGTTCCAAAGTGTGTCTAAGCTGCTAGTTAACTAGTTAACTAGCTAGTTAGTGAACTAACTTAGTTAATTAGTTACTTCAACGTCATCTCATGCCTAACCTAATGTGACTTTCCCCCACAGAATCCCTTGTTAGACCTTTGCTAATTTTTTAGTATGTGTATGTACATGAGAATATTGCATGTACGGAGCACAGTACGGAGTACATACATCCATCCATCCGTCTTCCACGGAGATGGGTGGACTGTTTAACGAATCTTTTCTGCCTCCATGGATTATCCCAAGTCAGACCATGGACTTGTTACACTAACCCATCCATCACAGGAACAACAAGCAAGACCTTCGCTATGCCTTGGCTGGGTGCGTTTTTTCATTATTACCAGCTTAGGGTGGCCCTTCCGGCCTTCATGACACCTCTTTCCCCGTCGCTGTATTAACTATATACACCATGGCCCTTCTACAGGCCGTCAACCGCATTCACGATGTGAAAAAGATTTACCACATATTTTTACTGAAACATATTTCCTGATTCTTCGCTTCTTGTTTTGCCTCTTGCCCCTAATAAACCCACTGGAGCCTACAGAGCGTCAAATGTCAAATGTCGAATGCCACCGTTCTGTCACTCCCCAACGAAATTATCGATAATATATTATGGAATGTGGGTTTTTATTCTGTTCTAGAGGAAACAATTAACTGCTTTCTGACGTCCTCTAGCTTGAAACTGATGCCCTATTAAACATATGTTATTCTTGCAAAAGGCTGTATATATTAGCCAAGAAACACATTCACCGAGAGATCACTCTCTGTCCTCTTAGAACCCGCTCCCTCCTTAGTTTCATTTCAAATATAGAATCTCTTTCTCTCAATCCTTTCCTGTTCATCAGACACCTTACCTTCGAACCCTCAGGTCCCACCAAGCCAGCTTGCTTCCATTTTGGCGGCACGCGTAGGGGATACTTCCATAGTGGTAAGTCTGGCCGGAGAAGTATTGTTTGTGAATATTAATTGGGCTTTGTTAATATTCCCTGGGAAATTAGACATCGGGCTGATTCTTGGACTGCTTCATCATCTTAAAACCCTTAGGTGTGTTTTATTATCTCCCTTCCAGATTTACCTATCTTCTCTCTAACCTCTCTTTTAAGGTGGACCCACCGCAGTTGTTTACCACATGCGATATTGGATCTTTCATACTCGGCACGACCCGTTGTTTCTGGAGTAGAGACACTCATAATCAAGGGAAACCCTAATTGTACGACTTCAACACTAGGTGTTATTCGTAAAGATGAAATCAGCTTTTCGAAACTTCGTCGCTTGTCTTGGACGGGCATTCGTAATGAAAATGAAATCCGAAGACTTGCAACATTCCTTAAAGATTCTAGCTCTACTCTGTCGGCTTTTGAGTCGGATTTCGATTTCCCAAGTTTCAGTTTAGCGGTAGAAGGCTATACAACGGTTGACCCTTTCTTTTTATTGGAGATTCATAAGGATGATAAGAAATGCATATTTCCTGTTCTGGAAGAGTTGAGTCTGTGCTCATTTCCACGCTCTTTTGAACAACTTCTATATCTACATGCATTCAATTTTAGCAGTCTCCGAAGGCTAAAGCTGCAACAAACTGAAGATACAGCAAGGCTATTTGGAAACATTCTTGAAGCTGACATTCCAATCCGTCTAAAGGAGTTTGAATATGGCTTTGGTCGGAAAAATATCAACATAGATGATAGTGGGATCAAAACATCTTTATGGAAGTTTCTTGCGTCCTTTGAAGGGCTTGAAAAATTATATATCGCTGTTCAAAATTCACAGTGGAACATTTGCTCTCTCATGCAAGGCATTGCCAGGCATCGAACTTCTCTCCAGGAACTGGCGTTTCTGGATGATGATACTCCAGTTGTTTACAACAATAGTAGGCTGTTTGCGCTCCTACTATTGTCATGTTCTGTTGATTTGAAATGCCTTAAAATTTTAGCTTCATTGGTATTAAAGGTATGCTTATAGCTTTTCTATGATGGGCCATCCTGCTTTTTATACAACCCCGGTATTTGCTACTACTTTCTAATTTAAAAACATCTAGAGGACCAGCCACCTTCCTGAAATAGCTGCAAGTCAATCGAAGCTCAGAGTATTGCATTTGGAGATACCATTTCTTAATCGACAGTTTGCCAGTTCCATCATGCAAAGCCTAACACTCCTTGTTCAGAATCCTCAACTTCGGTGGAAACAGCGAAGTATCTTACATAACCAGGGTTACTATCCTATTTTGTCCCTTTCGATAGACCGTATCATTTGCTTTGTACGATGGGCATTTGGACCTGACGGATTTCGAAGCCTTGAGTTTTTGACAATTGGCAATTTAAGTTTCTCGTCAAAACGCTTAGAGACCATGTTGGTTTTCAGAAGGCCAAAGGATGTAGTTGTCATAGGGAAAGAATGGACAACTGTCGCCGTGTATCCGTCTGTGGCTGCTTTCCAGGAACTCAGTGACGACCAGCAGACACTGGAACGATTGAGCAGGTACACCGGCTTCTGGAAATGCCTAAGTGCAGGGGAGGCGGGTAGCTTCTGTGATTAGCGTTAATTGCGTGTCGATATTCTTATTCAGAACATATTTACATTGTCTGGGACTCTGGTTGGCGCAGGATATAATTTTTTTCGGACTAGGATTGTTATTGGTAAATAGGAAATAATAAGTATCCAATCAAGTTGGAACTATTTTATACTTATACGCATATTCTTCTGGACTCTCGAGGTCCGAAATTTAGAGTTGCTAGAATATACAATGGCAATAATGATAAACATAGATGTGTATGGAACTACACCAAGAAGAGACCCGGAAAAGGACCAGAAATGACCAGGAAACAGCCACCAATGGAATTTGATCTGGTAGCTAAATAGTAAAAGACACATAAAAGCACACAACTATACATTAGGAAAAAAAAAAAAAAAAACCAAAAAAAGCACATACATTTTTTTTTTCTCGACAAAAATAACAGCTTACAAAAGAGGTCTGACATCCTGGTCATCTTTTTTATCCCCACAAATGAGACCATATGAGAGCATAAGGGCTTGCTTGACACAGAGTAATCTGAAAATATGTTGAAAATCAGAAAAAAAAGGCATACTAGACAAGAAGTGAAACCAAAAAAAAAAAAAAAGTATTTATCCATGTGGGAAAGAAGAGACGGACCAGCGTCTAAGAAAGGAGAGATGGGAGGAAAACAAAACACAGTAAAAACAAACAAATAGATAATAGCGAGTGTAATATGCATGTCCAGAATGTAGTTTCAGAAACAGCCCTTTTTTTTTCTTCTCCCCTCTCCTTCTTGTCCCGAGGCGTTATAATAACAAAAAAAAAAGGAACTGGATGGCTCCACCTGCTAGTACTGCGTGTATATCAGAGAGGGTGGGTCATCTTTGTGCTATATGCATGGAGAAGAATACGCCATGTGATAAGTATGTATGCAAATGGTCATGCCTTCGAAAGATAACAAATAAAGCGAAAAAAAAAAAAAAAAAAAAACTCCAGGGGTGGAAGAGGGGGTGGGTGGGTGCTAGGAGAAGGAAGTCCTGTTAAATGGAGAAATTGGAGAGATGACAATACTAGAAAAACAAGGCCAGAAGCAAAAAAAAAAAAAAAAAAAAAAAAAAAAAAAAAAAAAAAAAAAAAAAAAAAAAAAAAAAAAAAAAAAAAAAAAAAAAAAAAAAAAAAAAAAAACCCCGGGGGGGGAAGGGGGGGGGGGGGGGTGGTAGGAGAAGAAAATCCTGTTAAAAGGAAAAATGGGAAAAAAAAAAAAAAAAAAAAAAAAGGCAAAAAAAAAAAAAAAAAAAAAAAAAAAAAAAAAAAAAGATGGAGATGTGAGAGGTGTGTGGTGGTTTAAGTAAAACTCCATTTTTTGTTCTTCCATTTCAGGCCGTTGGCTTTCATTTCCTTTCGCCCCCTTTCCACCTCCTGAAGATAAGAACGAATGTTAGTGTGATGCAACGTATCAATAAACACAAAAAAAAAAGAAACATATATAGCAACAACAAAAAAACAAAAGGCAGTAAAAAAAGTCATAGTGTAAAATATATGAATTCTCAAGGAGGGGGAGATGCCAGTCATGCCAGCCCCTTAATTTAAGTTATTGTTTATCTCTAAAACAGCACATTAGCCAAATCCATCAAAGAAAACAGCAGTGATCGAATGATCAACTTACGCGTCCACGTCTTGGGCCAGGAGGCGGAACCTGTGGAGCAGGCGGGACCTGGGTGTAAAAGTTCTGGGGATAGGTATACATTGGCGGCGCGGGACCAGCCAGGACCGCGTTATGAGGGATCGGGCTGAACTGCGTGACGGGCGCGAAGCCAGGCTGCTGCACGAGCGGAGTCGGGCTGGGGTGGACGGACGGGCCGGGGTGCGCGGAGTGGTGGGCAGGCACGCGGTAGTTCTCGATCTGCGAAGGGTGGTAGCCGAGACCGTTTGGCGCGGGGATGGTCGTGTAGACTCCGCCGGAGATCGAGGGCACTTGTCGAGGCGGCGCGGCGTAGTAGCTTGAATATTGCAGCGGGCCGCTGAGAGGGTTCATGGGGTCCGGGGCGCCGTAGGGGAGGCTGTTCATGACTGGATAGCCGGCGAGTGCGCCGGGAGGGATTCCAGCAAGGGGATAGGAATCAAAGGGCGGGATGACATGCTCTGACGAAGTCGACCGGGACATAGGTGCAGGGGAGTGGAAGGGCTGAGGTTGCATGTTATGGGGATATTGGCCATTGTATTGCCGCTGAGCAGCGTGCTGAGCATTTCCTGATGGCTGTCTTGGAGGCTGTCTGTTTGACGATCTCTCAGCCTGGCCATTTGCCTGATCTCTCGATGAGCCGCTACGTGAGAGGCCAACTTCGTCCATGAGGCGCTTGTATCCCTGATTGGGCGTAGTCTTGAGCTTCGTAAGGACTTTAACCACGGCTTTGACAGATTCAGCACGCATGGGTTCTTCATGGAACGGTGTGGTGAGGGCCTTAAAGATCATCGTAGCACCGGTTGTCGGATCCTTCAAGATATTCTCCAGCGTCTCATTGCCAGGGCTGAAGAATATCGCCTTGAGAATAATTTCCCTTGCCTCGGGTTCATTCCGCTGATTGATGACCTTCAAAACAGTCGTGTGCGCCACCTTGTGCGTGCAAAGATACGTCAAGTGAGGAACGAGCTGAGGAGCAAGCACGGTCCGACGATGGGGCAAGTTACAGGTATCCAAGAACCACGTTATTAGAAGAGCTCCGTTGGAGATGACTGCCAGCTGGGGGCTGTGGAGAACAATGGCAGAGGCAACCATTCGAAGCTGATTCTTCGTGGAGTGGTGGCTCTCCAGACACGCCCGCATTCCTCTAGAGCTAAATCTACCTTTGGCGATAGTCCACAGCCGACTGATCATGGTCTCATAGAGGAAATCGGTATACGGGGGGCCAAAGTGCAGGCAACATTGGAGGACATAGTTGCCAAACTGGTCCAGGAAGAGCGGGATAGTATATGGTCGCAGACTATCCACAATCATTTGCTGCTGGCTATCGGTTTTGGCGTAATCGATGATTTTCTGCGCGGACCAAGTACCGTTTTTATGCACGCCGATTTCAGCGAGATGGGGAGCCACCGGAGCAAGCAGCGCTCCCTTCGTCCGGTCAGAGCAGAAGAGGAAGAGTTTCTGGACAACAGTGTTGCCAAGATAATCAGAGGAGAGGTCGACAATCTCGGGCAGCATGAGCATTGCCGCATCCTCAATCTCCTGCACGCTGCAGGTTCCGTTGTCGATACGTTTGCGGAGCTCTCTAATCTTGGGGGCATCAAACGTTCTCGTGGGGCTCGGTTCCGGCACCGGGCTGATCTCATCGCGGAACGAGCAGTATTCAATGGCTCTGTTGATACTCTCGGCGATGCTGTCGCGCTCCGCGTCCGACGCACCGAATTCAACGACAATGCGCAACATCTCCGTCACCAACTCAGACAGTTCCGGGATCTTGGGAACGTCGGCCTGGTCTCCGTTCTCATTTTCGGTGCCGCAAACGCCCTCGGGGGCGTGATTGGGAGTCGTGGACTCGGGCGTGGGGGAGGACTGTGCATCGCTGCGGCCAGGGGTTTCAGAAGTGGGCGAGACGGGGACTTTGGCGAAGCCAATACGAACGGGGCCGGCGCCGGGGAAAATCTCTTTGCCATTTACTTCCGTCTTGGCCTTGATCGCGTTATCCAAGCGTTCGAAGTTGACAAACCCACAATTTTTATGCGTCAGAACTCGGGTAGACTCGATTTTGCCAAACCGGCTGAAGATAGCGTCCAGAGACGTGACAGTAGTGGAAACGGGGATGCTGCCGATCCAGAGAGCGCGTGTCGGGCCTTCGATGACGCCGTCTTCGGCTCCATCAATACCAGACCGCCCCCCAAGATGCATCATCTGGACAGCGTCTTGCAACTCCTCGTATTCTCCAGCTTCCGCGATCCCAACGTCACCTGGAGAGCGGCCGTAGTCCAGTCTGGACGGGGCTGGAAAGTAGCCTTGAATAGCCGATCGCTGAAGAGGCGCGTCCAACACTCCTGCGGTGCGGGCACGAGGCCGACTGATGGACGTGTGGTTGGCAAACGCTTGAACGGCCAGGTTATGCTGCAAAATCTGAACCTGCGTGGCCTGCATTTCAGCTACTGCGGCAGCTGCGGCGGGATTTATGAGGCCGGACTGTGGAGTCGAACTCTGGCGAAGCCTCTCCTCGTTCTCAGCATATTTTTCTTTGGCGTTTACGGAGTAGGAGCGAAACCGATTGGCGCCCCGGTTCACGAGGTTCATATCGGGTAGCATAGTTGAGGCGGCCTGCTGCTGCTGCTGCTGCCGCATCAACAAATCGGCCGAAGAGTGGGCCAGAGTAGCTCCGGTTGGTTCTGGAGTTTCTATCAGGCCCAGGTAGTTCAGGGTCTTGACCCCAGTATCTGCGAGACCGTCTCTCGATATAGAGGATTGAGACGGCGATCCAGGTCCTTCTGAGGATCGGATGCTAGTCAGGGTGGGGGTGCGATCGCGGGTCCAGTTAGTCGAGAACAGGCCAGGGCCAAAGGGGTTGCTGCTGGTCACGAGGGGAGAGCGTTGTGGCATAGATCCAGCTCTTAGGCGGGACATCAAGGGGGCACTGCCCGACCCTGCGGCTCTCAGAGAGTCCAGGCCAGGAGGCCGAAACGGGCTGGTGGATGGGGTGGGTCGAGATGACTTGGAGATGCTGGCCGACGAGGACGAGGGGAGGCCGTTGGGGGCGCCCACGGGCTGGAAGCGCGAGGGAACGGTATCAGCGCGCGCCCTCCGGGCCGGGCTGCACAGGTTGGGTTCCGACAGCGGCACCAGGTCGGGAAACTCATCCTGGCTGGGCGACTCGGGGATGTTCTCGCGCAGTGGGGTGGAGTTCCCGCTGGTGGGAGGGCCCCAGATGCCGGGAGAGACACCTTCTTGTGCCTTGATTTCTCTGGTTCTGTAGGGGCGGTAGAGGGTCAGGGTCAGTAACAGAGTCAGTCACGCCAGGCTTTCTGGTGCTGTGCTTACCGTTTCGAGTAGAAACGCGCGCTGAGCTCGTGCGACGGCGAGCCGGCGGTCCTTCGTGCACTCCCCAGGGAGCTATTGGAGGATGACAGGCCGTTGACGGCGAACGAGGGTCTGATGGGCCCAGAGGCGGGCATCTCGTTGGGCGAGGAGCTTCCGGTGGAGGTGCCGGAGCGAGGCTGGGGAGCGGGCAGATAGCCCAGGCCGGGGGGGCCGTCAGAGGACCGCGAGGAGGGAGCCATTATGGATTACGAGTTAATAAGGCGAGAGTCCGACTCAGAGGAATATTAAGACAATAGAGAAATTATTCGGTCTCAGGCGGTTTGGAGCGAGAGTGCTTGGTGGTGTGTGGCTGTGGCGGTCTTGGGTGAGCGGCGGAGAACGACGAGCGAGAGGGCGAGAGGGCGAGAAGCGAAGAAGGCAGAGGCAACGGGCCAGCAGCAGCACGGCAGCGCCAGGCGCATCAGCAAGGTTTGCAGGCTGACGACACTACGGCCGGTTGCAGGAGTTGATGGCAGCGTCAACGGGTTGCAAAGTTGAATGCTGGTCAGCGCCAGACCAAGCTTTTGGAGAGAACCAGCGGACGACGGCGGCTGGACGGTCCGGAAGGCGGGCGGTATCGGAATTGGCGACGCAGGCAGCGAGAGGCCACGCTCAGACAGCAGGCTGTAGGCAGGATGAGGACGGAGGACGAGGAGGAGGAGGAGGAGGTTGAAGGTCGTCAGTGATGGGGATGCAGGGAGGTTGGGGAGTTGAGTGAGGCGAAGGTGAGGATGGACGTGAGGGCGAGGGAGCGAGGGAGAGAGAGAGAGAGAGGAGAGGGAAGAAGAAGAGGAGAACAAGACGCAGCAGAGAAGAGAAGCAAAGGACGAAGCGAAGACGCGCAGCAGACGAGCAGACGAGCAGACGAGCACCAGACAGGCGAGAGAGAGATGAAGGGCGGGCAGCGGGTTCCAGAGCGAGCGAAGCGAAAGCGATCCTGCAGCTGAAACTTTGGCTGCGCTGCGTCGCGACTCTGAAACATGCGGGCGGCGGAGCCCCTGGAGCTGGGCGGCGGCGGCGGCGGTGGTGCGCTGGGGGCCGTTGCGGGTGGCTAGTTGGCTGCCTGTCTGTCTGTCTAGTTAGTTGTCTGTCTATCTGTCTGTCTGTCTGTCCGTCTGTCCGTCTATCTGTCTGTCTGGCTGTCCGTCTCCCTGCGTGGTCTCGCTGTCTCCTCTGACTCACCATCACCTCGCGGGGTGAGTCCTCGCCTCTCCCACCACAACCAACATCACCACAACCACCACCACCACCACCACCACCACCGCACTGCTCACCACCACCACGCCGCCCGTCATGCCGCTCGCCGTCTACATCGACGAAGATGTCGGCACGGACGACCAGTCCGCCGCCGGCACCGACCTGGCTCCCTACAAAACCCTCCTCTACGCCCTGCTGCAGCACCCGCCCACCCCCGCCAACGACGTCCAGTATCTCACCCGCAAGTCAGAAACCGGCCCCGTGGCCGACGACGGCGATGCCTCTGCACGCCTCGAGTGGAAGCCCGCCACCAAGTCCGCGATGAAGAAGGCCACCAGCCTGTTCGAGGCGCGCATGAAGAAAGCCGCCAAGGAGCACGACCTGGCCCTGCGCCAGCGCGAGGAGGCCGACAAGCGCCAGCGTGTGCTGGAGGACGCAAAGAAGATTGTCATCACCGAGAATGCCGCGCTGCCCAAAGCCGTGCGCATCCGCCTCGACGAGAAGGACCCGGCCACGGTGCAGCTGCGCGACGGCGACTCGCCCGGCACGCGCGTGCGGGTGCTGGGCCGTGTGCACCGGCTGCGCGCGCAGAAGGATGTCATCTTCGTCACGCTGGCCGACGGTTACGGGCTGCTGCAGTGCGTGTTCACGGGCGAGCTGGTGCGCACGTACGACGCGCTGACGCTGACGCTGCAGACGTCTCTGGCCATCCACGGCGAGATGCGCGCGGTGCCGCCCAAGCAGCACGCCCCGGACGACCGTGAGCTGCACGCCGACTTCTTCACCGTGCTCGGCCGCGCCGCCGGCGACAAGGACGCCATCTCCACGCGCGTCGCGCCCGACGCCGACCCGCAGACGCTCTACGACAACCGCCACCTGGTGCTGCGCGGCGACACCGCCTCCGCCGTCATGAAGGTGCGCGCCGGCGTGCTGCGGGCCTTCCGCGCCGCCTTCGACGAGCGCCGCCTGCTCGAGGTCACCCCGCCCGCCATGGTGCAGACCCAGGTCGAGGGCGGCGCCACGCTGTTCGCCTTCGACTACTACGGCCAGCCCGCCTACCTGACCCAGTCCTCGCAGCTGTACCTCGAGACCTGCCTGCCCGCCCTCGGCGACGTCTTCTGCATCTGCCCCTCCTTCCGCGCCGAGAAGTCGCTCACCCGCCGCCACCTGTCCGAGTACACCCACATCGAGGCCGAGCTGGACTTCATCGCCTTCCCCGACCTGCTCGACCACCTGGAGGCCCTGATCTGCCGCGTGCTGGACCTGGTGCTGGCCGACCCGCACCTGGCCGCCTTCATCCGCACCCTCAACCCCTCCTTCACCCCGCCCGCCCGCCCCTTCAAACGCATGCGCTACGCCGACGCCATCGACTGGCTGCGCGAGCACAACATCCCCAACGAGGAGGGCGCCCCGCACGTCTTCGGCGACGACATCGCCGAGGCCGCCGAGCGCAAGATGACCGATATCATCAACCAGCCCATCTTCCTGACCCATTTCCCCGTCGAGATCAAGGCCTTCTACATGAAGAAAGACCCCGAGGACCTGCGCGTGACCGAGAGCGTCGACGTGCTGATGCCCGGCGTCGGCGAGATCGTCGGCGGCAGCATGAGGATGGACGACTGGGATGAGCTCATGGCCGCCTATGCGCGACAGGGCATGGATCCGACCCCGTACTACTGGTATACCGATCAGAGGAAGTATGTGTTTCTTTTCTTTTTGCTCTATTGCTTCCTTTTTTGCTAACTAACTTTTTTGCTAGATATGGAACTTCTCCACACGGCGGCTACGGCCTTGGTCTTGAACGTTTCCTCGCTTGGATGTGTGGCCGGTACACCGTGCGCGAGTGCTGTCTCTATCCCCGCTTCACGGGACGATGCACGCCATGAAAGGGGGAAAAAAAATAACTTTGACGTCATGTTCATAAAAAAAAGGCAAAAAGCTAGTCAAATAAAAATAGATGCAAAACGATATTACCAAGGTTTTTCTTCTTTTAATACTTCGAGAATCCTGTTTTATTCCAGGTTTTCCGCTTTCGTCTCACTATCTAGTAAGATCTATTAATTATAAGGACTGTGAGTGTGTGGTTTGTCATCCTTCCCGCCACTATGTTTGGTGAATGTTTGAACTGCATCAAGAAACGACGGAGGTGGGTATTTAATGCCCTACCCCGGCATTATCCCAATCATAAAACATAAGTCATAAGAAAAAAGAAAATAACAAATAAAAGAACACAAAAATCTGTTAGGATGCTGCTTGGCTTGCGTTCAGGGGGCATGCTCCCAAGGCCAAATATTAAAAAATGCGAAAGCGAGGGCTACACATGAAAACGAGGCGAGTTTATATCATTATTGGCCCCGTTTTTCAGTTTGGCCACAGACACCGCGCATGGGTTCATTTCCGGGGTTCCACTGACTGTTTCAGGGGAGGAGCTCAGCGAGGGCAGGGATGACGCATCGTCTCTGTGGGACGACGGATGATTGCCATCCGCGCTAGAGGCAGTCAAGGTCGGAGAGCTCGAGTTCGAGAGGACGTCGGAAGGAGAGGACGAGTTGGTTTTCGAGGTTGAGTTTTGGTCTGCCTGGGGCGGCGGCGCGGAGGTAGGGTGGTGGCCGGACGGGGAGACATGGCGGCGGAATTGGCGGAGGAAATTGTACGCGGCGGTGGATTCGATGGCGCGTTTGGCACGATGGATGGGGATTGGGTCGTCGTCCGGTGGTGTTGAGGCAGCAGTATCGTCTGCGGGAGGTTGTTTCTGTTTAACGCCGACCGGCGTTGTAGCTGCAGTTGGAGGAGACACGATGACCGTGGGGGCTTTTGACGACGGCGGAGAAGGCGGTGGTGACGACGCCATGATGATAGCAGGCCTAAGGGAGGAAGACACGACCGGGTACGGCAGGGCGAGCTTGGAGTACGTGAATGCCGACAGGTCGTGGAGCGAGAGGGAGATTGGCTTGAGGGAGTCTGTGTTGCGGCACCTAGATAGCAGTTAGTTACGTGTTTGCACAGGGTTAGGAGAGGGAGAGATGCTGAGAGATGCTGACCGGGTGCTGCAGTAGAGAAGAGCGTTGTTGGGGGTTGTGATTTGCGTCTCGCACGTCGCGCTAAAATGACGTTGTCAGGCCAAACAAGCTTCCGGATATGGAAGGGGAAGGTGCCTACCAGAACTGGATGAAGCTGGCTGCCATGCTCGGAAGGACCGGCCCACGCACTGCTCCACTGTGCTCCTTCCCTCTTTCTGGTTGTTGTTCCTTTTTTCGGTTATAATAGACTCGCTCTTGCCAATTGGCACAGTCGTTCCTTCTCTCACCGGCTGGCTGTTTGCTCGTCACCTGAGTCACCAGCCCAAAGCAGAAGAATCATAGCAGCAGCAGCAGCTCCATCAATGTGTGAACAGAAAACGAGAAGAGAGAGAGGAGTGTCAACGCATCAAGAGCGGAGAGGAGAGAAGGCAGCGTGCAGGGCAATCTAAACAGCAAGAAAAAGGGGGGCACGCGACCACCAGTGTCAGTGCATGGCTCTGGGACAGATCATACGCAAGCAAACGGAAGCCGCGGAGCATGCAGCAGGATCGGTGTCGTAAGAGGCGGGAGACCCAACAGACGGATGTTGGGGAGGATAAGAAGACTATTAATAAGAAGGAGATGTAGATTGACCTCAGACACGTCGTCCTGTCCAGGGGGAGGGGGGGGGGTAACGAATTATAAAATATGCGCTCTATAGATAACGTGCGGAGGGGAGATCTTCATCGAGGATGACTGTTCGCTGTGCCCGTTTCAACCCCAGACCGTGCGATATTCTATCTTTGGGTCGGTGATAAGCTCAACCCCCCCTTTTCTCTCTTTTTCTATCGGGTTCCCGACTAAGGGGAAAGCAAGATAACAACCAAAACAAACGAAAAAAAAATAAAACCAAGGATCCTGGTCGCCTTCTCCTTATCAAAAAGCAAAATCAAACCAGGCCTGTCAGAAAAAAGAACCAAAAGGGAATCGAGAAAACAATCGATGGTAAAAACGGGCGCTGTAGTCTTTTGTATCTCTCCGTTATTTTTTTTTACGGGATGATGACGACTGGTTTGGCTGGGAGCGAGTAAGTACCTGTACATCACTGGGGGGGCAAGGCAATCCCGGCAATATCCGCGGCGGCCCTCACGACGACGTCAAAGCAGGAACGGCTATATTGGAGATTTCCCCACAGCCAGGCTGGGCTGGACTGGCCGGCCAGCGACGCACATCAAGGCCGGTTGGTGTGTTGCACGGGCTGGCTGCCAGTCGTATCCTGGCCCGGGTCAAGGCGTGAAGACACATCAAGTAGAAGTTCGTGAGGGTTTTCCCAGCCATTTTGCGTTGTTTGATCCCGGGAGTGTGGCGTTTCATTGGCGGCTCCCCCCGGACGCTGCTGGGTCGGATGATCTCAAGGACCAGCCAGTTCTATGGTCCGACCGCCCGCACCGAGGAGTCTGGGGGGTGGACTGACCGCCAGATTCACCCTGGCATCTAGTTAACTCTTCAAGAAAATAAAAATTATTACCTCCTCGGAAGCGTTTCACTCCCAAATACAAAATTAATAAGAGTAACTACGGAGTAGCATTTACATGCTCGCAAGGTGGCCTGTGGGTGGACGACAGGCTCCAAGAGCCAATTCAAAACAAGCAAATGGCGTAGGCTCTCCTTCTGCAAAACGTGGCACCTCGTGCGTTGAGGATACTTTCCGGGGCAAGGTCAGATCCATACCGGTGACCGCTGGGTAACAACCCGCCGATGGTCTACTACTCCAAACTAAGCCAAGTACCTATGCTGTGGGTAACCTCCATGTATGGTAGATATAAATTCATTAGGACGCCTGTCTCGCATGCTTCTAGCCCTTCCCTCCAGCAGCGCCATCCCCCACAGCCGACTCGGACTCTGATCCCGCCCTCGTGCCTGTTGGTGTCGCAAGAAACTCTTTCGGCGGTGCAGCATTCGGGGCCAAGAACCGCTCTGGCACGCCCCGCGCACCGGCCCCGAGCTGGCCCACGAAGCACCCCAGGAATCCACTCCATGCATATCGCCCAGTGAGCACCTGGCGGACTTCGCGGTATGCTTGCGAGTCGGCGTACGAGATGCCTGTCTGCGGATCCCGGTAGTGGCCGGGTCGCCCTGTCACCGGGCAGTATTCGGGGGTAGGCTCTACAACGATGGTCTTGTGAGCATAGTGCGGCTTGATAGCAGAGAGAGGGGGGGCTTGAAATATAAACAAACACAAAGTGCGAGTGACTGACTTTGTAACTTCTGCGGCTTGCGCGAATTCAACAGGACGTTGTAGTCATTCCGATCCTGGGACGATGCATCGTCGAAATCCTGCAGAATGACATAGTTGCGTGTGTATATGACGACTTTCGGCACGGGTAGGGCCGGCCGGCTCGGGGCCATCGGTGCGGACGGTGCGGACGCTGCATCTGCGCTCTTCTTGTTTTGGCTACTTTTGAGAAAGGCTTGTAGGAGTGGCTGATGCGGTTTTGTGGTCGCGGACGAGTTTGAGCCAGGAGCATGTGGGCTCGACGAGGGCGGTCCAGCCTCTGTTGTTGAGGCTGTTGCTGGGGATTCTTTTTCGGCGGTGTCTTCAGTGGGGTTTGTTTTTGGTGTTGCCACGGAAAGTTTCGTCCCATTTGTAGCAACACGTTGCGGTTCTTCTTTGTCTGTGGGCGACGGCGCGTCTTTTGGCGGGCGGTGGTGATGGGCCTCCTCCATAGAAGCGTAGATATGGATTCCGTCCAGAAATGCCACACCCTCACCGTAATAATTTTTAGGCAGTTGTTTCTTATTTTCAACTTGGGGAACTGGCGTTTCTGGGGCCGTTTCTGGGGCCGTCTCTTCTGGTCTAGCATCTTCTTCCGCAGCGTCCTCCTGCGGTGGCTCCTCCGGCTTGGAATCATTCGGCGGCTCTTCGCCCTCTGTATCCTTGGCCCGTTTCTTTCGGTTGCTACTATCCGACCGAAAATATGTCTTGATGCCCACCTGGGACAGGCGATCATTTACCCATTTCGATGGCCCACTCCACCATGTCGCGACGGGCCCCTCCAGACGACGATTCTGCAGTGCCTCCAGTTTTGCCTGTTGTTCCTCGCTCCGCTTCTTCTCCATCTCCTCCCATCGGTTCAAAGTTTTGCTGTTTACGCGTTCCGTCTTTTCCGCCTCCGCCAGTTTTTCCATTTGCGTCATCCGCTTGGGCTTGTTGTGCTCTTTGCGTTTCGCCGCCTCCTCCATTGTAGCAATCAGCCGGATGCGCTTCTTTTCACTGTCCTTCAATCGGGCGTGCGTAAGCTCTTTGTTTCGAATCGTCTGCTTGCGCGACGAGGATCGAGTGGGCCCGTCGTCCGCTGCTGGTAGCCAGGATATTCGTTCGGACCTTTTCCGGTACCGTGACGCGGATTTTGAAAGCGATTGGGACGCGGCGCTCGGGTCTATTCTGACTCTCTTCCTCAATGCGGTCAATCGCAGCGAGTCGTGTGCTTTTCGTTTCTTTGCCAACCGGTCCGCTTTGGCTTCCTTTTCCAGCTCCTTTTCGCCCTCTAGCTCGTCAACTTGTGCACTTGGGCCCTGGTCCTCTTCGTCGGACGAGGAATCCAGTTGCATGTCGTCTGCGTCGTCGCCTGCGGCGGCTTCGGGTTCGCCTTCGCCTTCTATTTCGTCTCCCTCCTCTTCGCCGAACGTGAACTCTTCATCCTCTTCATCCTCGGCAAAGAGCAAAGCCAAGTCGTCGTCCGCCTCCGCATCGATCAAGGAGCCCATGTGCTTTCCCGCTGTGCTTCGCTTCGCTCGCGCGGTCGCGAGGTATTCGATAGGTTCGTCGTCCGACATATCGGTATCGTTCGATTCCGAAGAGCCCGCCATGATCGCGTTTGCGTGGGACTACAAGCGGCAGGTCGTAGCAGTAAGGCAATTGGGAGCGGGAACTAGTTGTTCCAGGATTATATATATAATTTCAAGTTTGGCATCACATCGCCGCTGTAGTCTGCGTTTCTTGAATAACTACCTGTCGCTGAGTCAGCAATCTTGGCAACCGTCTGTGGCTGGTGCGCCCGCACCGCCCCACAGGGCTATTAGTAGCAACACCTTACATAAGCCGGCCCTGCGCATCGATAGTCCGCCTTGGTATCGACGCCGCAGCCAGTAGATGAAACAATGATGCGGATAAGAGACTCATATTGAAACCGAAAAGACACGCCTCTTTGCCCAGATGGAAACGGGCAGCAGAGCCCTTTTCCAAAACATTTCGACGCCTGGTGCTCTTTATCTCCGGCAAACGACCAGCCGGTTGTACAATAATGTGCTCGCCAAGTTTTCCCTTTTGTCGCTCTCGATGTCACACAACAGGTTACATATCGATGGGGGAGGAGACGAGGCTGGAGCAGGGTCTTTCTGCAGGATATCCCACGCGAGGTGGATTAGAATCAGACCTGACACAAGCGCAACGGGGTCACTCCTCTGGCGGTCCTGTTCCTCCAGCGCAGCCGCCGCGGCGGGATGGGGCGCGCTGAGCGGGTTCTTGAAGCCTGCGCCCTCGGCCAGGAGTTGGCACTGCACCCGGGGCCGCCGGGGCCAGCGTCTTGCATGGCAGCTACAAGGCCCGCCGGCGGGATCCAGGGTGTTCGCTGGGGTTTGTCGTTTGTTGCCAGACGGCGCAAGGGAAGAGGGCGACGCAAACACTGCGGGATCGGTACCGGTATGTACGGCCGTGTAATTTAACTTTAAGCGCTTAGCGCAGAGGGGTTTAGAGTGCTCGCAGGAACCCCTTACTTAGCTGGAACGGGCATAGCCGTCCTGGCGGGCTAGCCACATTCGTCTAGAGCTTCCCCGCGGCCGGCCAATGGGCGCCGTGTTTTGATGTCCTCAGCCTGGCTGCTCGTCGTAAGCATACGTACGGCGTATATCGTATGGCCATGGACGGCCGGGGGTACCGTACAGTACACACAGAGCGCGGCCGGAGCGGCGGGACGGGCGCGCGCAGCGCTGACGGTCGCCGGGCGAGAGCAGAGGCAAACCACGGCGCCGGCTGCGTGCTCGCAGGCAGCTGAAAGCACGAGGCGCAGGCGTGCACGCGCCCGGCCAGGCTGGCCACGGCGGCCCAGCCCCGATTCCTCTCACACGCCGGCCGGCGGTACCAGTACCGCGTACAGCCGTACGGTAACCCAACCATACGGCGGCCGTACGCAGCGCTTGCTTGGTTTTCGCTCTCCTTTTTCGCTCGCAGGCTCACCGTCGCCCTTCGATCGTCCTCCGCTCTCTCTTTCTCTTCTCGCTGCTGCTTCTTCTGCTTCTTCTTCCTCTCTCGCTCTCTTTCACTCTCTTTCTGTCTTGCTTCCTCAAGGCCGCCGTTAATCTTTTATTTATTATTAGTACTCTTGTTGCTCTCGGAGCCTTTCTCCTTATTTTCTCTCTCGTTTCAATCTGTTTACTTTCTTTCATAATCCCTCTTTTCCTACTTCATTCATTCCAATTCATTCCTCTTGCCAGCATCCAGCCCCCGTCCGCACCTGGCTACTCAATTCTACCTTGTTACTGTTCCCGCCTGCTCGCTGGAATCACCTTGTCAACATTGTCATCCTTGCGACCTGAACCAGGCCATACATTCTTTGCTCGTGGATCCTACAGTATTTCCCACCTCCTGTCATTTTGTTCGGCAAATCCACCCCTTCCTAGTTGAAGGCGATAACCAGGCTAGTGGTGACTTACTGGAACCAGGTACGGACTATATACAATCTCACTTTCCTGTTGCTCACTTTAGATCCACCTGTGCGTGCTATCTGAGATGTTAGGGCATCATCTTGTGATTGTTCGAGCAGCAAAATCTATGTCCGTGTGGCACATGTTTACCACACTGCATTGCCAATCTGTTCTATCTCTAATATAATCTCTCTTTCGCAGTCCCATAGTCTGTTGCATCAGCAGAGCTTCGTCGATCTCTTATCTCCTACTGAACTTGTCCGGTCTCAGGCACCGGACACTATAAGACAGCCAAAACGGCAGTACTTTCTCCAATTCAGGGCAGTCCTGTCCTTCCTCGATATTTGCTTACAATGCAAATGGCTGACGCGCCCAATTCGACAACCGGAAACCGCATAATGCCGCCCGTCTCGAAACTATCGAATGGAAACTCGGAGTCAACAGGCTTTTCCCATGGAGCGTATACAGGAAACCTGTCGTTCGCGGATCGCAACTCCCGTCGAGCCAATATTCCTGCAATTAATACGGGCGCCATCGGACAGACTTCGGGCGATTTGGGTAGCGCAAATAACGCTTTTGATGTGAATTTTGCGCCTCTACTTCCCTCCCAGCTACTCTTAGGAAGTCCATTTCAGACAGGCACGCCATCTTTTGCGTCGCCACAGTTCCAGAGCTTCCAAGGATTCTCTCAGTCAAACGGAAATTCCCAAGCACAAAACCACCAACTTAATAGCCCAACCCAAGCGCAGCATAATCCACTGTCGCCTCAACTCTTCCAGAACCTTGTTTCACCCGACGGGCTTGCGACATCCCAGTTGTTGGGGGGTCCGCAATCTCCGGTAGGCGGCTTCCCTGGCTTTTCCAATGCTTTCGGAACCGCGAACCCATCACTGCAGCCCGGAATTCTCTCTGGTACTAGTCGCACGGTGTACCTGGGCAACCTTCCTGCTGAGACTAGCGCCGAAGAGATCCTAGGCCATGTTCGAAGTGGCCAAATCGAATCAGTTCGATTGCTGCCTGATAAAAATTGTGCATTCATCTCATTTTTGGATAGTAGTTCAGCGACTCATTTCCATTCGGACGCAATTTTGAAAAAACTTTCAATCAAGGGGAATGATATTAAAATTGGCTGGGGCAAGCCGTCCCAGGTGCCAACCTCTGTAGCACTTGCAGTTCAGCAGTCTGGAGCTTCAAGGAATGTTTATCTCGGCAACCTTTCTGAGGATACTACTGAAGAAGAACTTCGCGAAGATCTTGGTAAATTCGGTCCCATTGACACCGTTAAGATTGTTCGAGAGAAGTCTATCGGTTTTGTTCATTTTCTCTCCATCAGCAATGCCGTCAAAGCTGTGAATCAACTTCCCCAGGAACCGAACTGGCAGGCCCCCAAACGCGTTTATTATGGAAAGGATCGATGCGCCTATGTTTCGAAGACCCAGCAACAGAACGCTGCCCAATATCTGGGAATTGCACCCGGCTATGCTCATATGTTGAACTCGGCAGATAGGGATTTGATTTCCAATGCCTTAGCTCAGCAATCTGTTGCAGCTGCAGCTGTTGCCACTGCCGCAGGTGGGGTGAATAACCTTGGAAATCGAACGGTATATCTTGGAAATATCCACCCGGAAACAACGATTGAAGAAATTTGCAATGTTGTCCGTGGTGGGTTGCTCCACCACATTAGATACATTCCAGATAAACATATATGCTTCGTCACCTTTATCGATCCAACATCAGCTGCTTCCTTCTACGCACTGAGCAACCTACAGGGATTGATGATTCACAATAGACGACTAAAGATTGGCTGGGGAAAACATTCGGGCGCTTTGCCTCCTGCTATTGCGCTCGCTGTCAGCGGTGGCGCTTCTCGAAATGTTTATATCGGTAACTTGGATGAATCGTGGAGTGAAGACCGACTCCGACAGGACTTCTCGACTTATGGCGAAATTGAGCTGGTGAACACTCTCCGTGAGAAAAGTTGTGCTTTCGTTAACTTTACGAATATCGCCAACGCTATAAAAGCAATTGAAGGGATGCGCGGCCGGGAGGAATATAAACGCTTCAAGATCAATTTTGGCAAAGACCGATGTGGAAACCCCCCTCGCCAGCTAAACAATGGCCAACCACAACGCGCTGGTACGGATGGAAGCAATATGCTTTCTAACGGAAGCCTTCAGGCTTCTTTCAACCAAGGAGCGCAGCAGTCGAGCCCAACCCGACCTGCACTATCTCCCGCCCCCGGTTCTACGGGGTCGCAGGGAGCAAGTAGCCAGCAAAACCGCGCTCCCTTGGTTCCAACACCGTCATCGATCTTGAATACCGGGGCCAATAACCCTTTAACCATGTATCTTAATCATGTGTCTCAACAGCAAGCCCAAGAACAAGAAAGTCGCCTAAACGGTTCCATGTCTTTTGCCTCTCTTCAGCAACAACAGCAGCAACAGCAGTCTCTTCAACAACAAAGCTTTGCTCACCAGCAGGCTAGCCTCTTCAACGGTACAGGGCCAAACGATAACACTAATATCCTGGAGAATTCTCTGCATCAACAAAGATCATCCAACCATAGCCTTTTAAATGTTTCTAATGCTGCAAATTCCAGCCTTCATGGTTCAAGCGGTTCTACCTTAAGCGTTCCACGTGCTCAGCATTCCCGCGCTGTTAGCCTTCCATCATTCTCGCAGGAGCCATTTGGACAAATTCATAACCTGGCACCACGCACCGGTATGGCTCATCAGCCCCAAGGAAGCTTCTCCAGCTTCGGCGGTGGCCTGAGTGGCCTGAGTGGCCTTAACCACAACGGCTTTGGCCTTTCCATCTCCAACGAAACCTCCCTTCCTGGGTGGGCCGAGGAGGAGATTCGGGCGAAATAAAGCTTACGATATATTGTATTATTTAACATGCTCCCATTTTTCTCATATTTTTTTTTATTTGAATCTTCTTGCCCATTTTTCGATGTACTTTTTCTAATCACTGCGTTTTGAATACTTATGCACATTCCCATCTTGCCACTGACCAGGCTATTGAGGAATGTCTTCTTATATATTTTTAATTCGTGGTTTCTAACGAATTTAGTCCAACATCCTGGGTCGGTCGGTTTTTGGCGTGCAGATAAAACAGAGAGTTACCACCTGTCAGAAGACATGGCTATTTTTTCCTTTTCTTTTTCTTGTTAACTGCCAGTGATCTTTTGAAATATCGTCCTTGAGTCGATCTCTTTGTTCCTTCGCACTTGCCCACCCCCTTTGTGTTTATTTCGATTTTATTTCGCTTTAATTTTCTTTCTTTTTTTCTTTTTCTGATTTAATTGCCATTTTTTGCCATGCCATCTTCATACTACTTAATAATCGCCTTCTTAAATTTCCTCCCTGACGCCGCGTACCTATCACCCGGTGGGTTGGAAGGAAATAATATGGTCCTACGACAAACGGTGCATATTGGGAGGAAGACTCGTGGATGGAGCGGAGCAGAGCGGTCTAGGAAAAGGGAGCCGACCTGTTTAGATAGAAGCAGATACCCGTAATAATACAAGAGACTCCATTCTCACAGGATCATTCATTCTACCAGTTCAAAGTATGTCTGATGTTGTAGTCACGTGCTTGCCTATTTTGTTACCTAAGGTAGTTAATGAGGAAGTATCAACATGCAAACAACCACCCAACACAACATCAATCACTATCTTGTAGTTACCCCAGTCATCTTTTATTCACTGGTCGTGCTATCAGATTCACTACAAGCTAGATACTCTGCTTTTTGCACGACATCATGGCGTTACCTCCTGAGCAAATCCGCATCAAACGTCGCCGAGAAGAAGAGCCTGTGGAGACTTTATGTATGTGCTTACAACCCTTTCCTCTCGCTGCAGTGTCCCTGAAAATATATGAGTTTTTTTGCTGCTCATCCCTTTCAGGGTGACAGCTATAGCATTGTTCTTCTGTGACCATTCCCTTCCGCATCGTTTTTGGTCTTGTATTTTGACAAGAACTCTGGATGCTCAATGAGCATGATTTTCTACATTCCTTTATCCTGATACCATTATTTGAGTACTATACCTCACTCCTTGATTTGTGGATTATCTATCTTCCCCTATGCAATCGGGAACTAACCATAACATATATGGTGTTATTGTTGTGTCTATTAGATATCCAGCCAGAAACACGTCAAACAAAAAGGCGGTTTACAGATTTCGTGTTTCAACGCGTTATTCTAGATCAAGAAGAGGCTGGCGTTGGTAGCGCGTCGAATCCTAGTCTTACGAACGAGAGATCTACGCGTCATTCATGCTCGCGTACTGCTGGGAGCGGCCCAAGTGTTCCGATTGTGAGAACTGGTTCTCCTAGTCCACAGCTGCAGGACGAAACTCAGATACCCGCAAGTACGCCAAAGGCACATGGAACCAGAGGCATGGCAGTCCTAGTCAAGGAACCCCGTTCCCGATCTTCATCAGCAAAACTACCCTTCCGGCCATTACCCGCACATTCTGCCATGCGTCGGTTCCATATTGCAGCCCCAGCTACTAGTCAAAACGTGCTCCGTAAAGCTGGTGGGGGTGTGCAAAAAAACAAAGGCCTAAAACATGCTGTGGTCGTGGAACAGAAGGGCGATGTCGCCAAGACTATATCTGATTTAAATGACATTACCATGGGGAATGGCGAAGATATCAATATCCTTGGAGGGAAACCTGTCGAACCAGCACCGAGAAAGCGACGTGTTGTCAACGAGGCAGAAAGAAGATGGAGAGAACAAAACAATGCACGCCAATATCAAAGTCGCATACAACCAGATAATGGCCAGAGTAAAAAGACAGGCAACTCCACCAAAGACGACCCGTCAACCTGGGATTTAGATTCCACTGAGCTCGCAGACGAGTTACAAAGCATTGCTATGGAAGCAGCTAGCGCAATGCCAGTTGTTACTACAGAGACGAAAACACTGCCACCAGCACCTAAGGTATACCTACCGACGATCTCGCCCGTTCTCAAGTACAAGCCAAAACTACCCAAGCGCCAGCGCGGCAGGCGAGGGAGGCGATTTGGTATATTTGATGGAGCCGATGAGTCAGGTGAATCATCGGCCGCTGATACTTTGCACCCCTCTCCTGGAACCACTGGCTTAGAAAATATTTCTGCTTTGAAAGAAGCCCTTGAAGAGCATGTTATGTTGGACAAGGAATGGAAAGATAATGATTCTGATTATGTATACGATGTATTTATTCGACGCCCTGTCCAGGAGTTTGCAGATGACCCCAAATTTCTACATATCCAGCAAGGGTATTGGTCCATCGAAGGCGAAAAGGCACCCACAAATATTGGTGTTGTTGTTATCTCAGAAAAAGATATGCACTATTGGAATGAGCTTGCTGAGGATGACGATGACGAGTCATATTGGAACACTGGCGATGAGGATTCAAATGGTATGTATACCTTTTACGCTCCTTCTATTTTGAAGAAGTGAACTAACGAATTCTAATCTGGCTCTCATATTAGCGGAGGATAATCCCGCAAATGAATACCCTGATGAAGACCTCGACATTGAAGATGAATTTGACGACGTGAATGCTGCATACAACAAATATAGGCGTTATGGATCTGACGATGAACAGTATGATATGAATGAAATTGACGAGCATAGATTCAAGCCGACTACTCATGATAGTTCAGCTGAAGAGGCATCCGATGCTGAAAAAAGATATCCATGGGGGCGCTAAGACTGAGTAGTTTCTAGCGCCGGGAAAGATATCGAATGTTTGTTTAAAATATGGCTATTGTATTAGTTTCCTCGGCATTTTTATCCTGGAACTACTTTGAACCTCGCATACGAGACAATGGCGGTTCAGTCCGAGAGCAAACGATGTGGCACCCCTCTTGTTCATATTATCTATGATTAGAGTACAGTGTTAAAACTTGCTTTTTTAAGCCCTCAAGCCCGAGCCGGGCAGTATTTGTGTATTTCCTAATTTGGAGTAAGGAGCAGAACGGAGTGGAGACAGGTGGTTCTCATGTATGTGTATAGGTGTGTATATTAAAAGGAAGCAAAAAACCCAATTTGTCCAATCTCTGACCAGCATAATGCGGTATGTACCGAGCAGCCATCACTATGCCTTCGCGGGAGCATACGCCTCACGGTCCTTAAACACCTTAATCACAGAAGGTCTGTTCGACATACGCTGCATCCACCGGTGCACATTCGGGACATCCTCCTCCAAAGCTACACCCTCCGACATGATAAACCATTGCCATGGGTAAAAAGCCAGGTCTGCAAAGGTGCACTTATCCCCCATCAAAAACTCTTTGCCCTCCAAGCACTTTTCCAAAATTTGAGAAACCCGCTTGGCCTCGTTGCTATAACGTTCAATTACTCCCGGAATTTTCTCGGAATGGTAGAAATTGAACCAGGACCACTGGCCGTAGTATGGTCCCTGGCCAGACATTTGGAAGTGCAAGTATTGCTGGGTCAGGTGGTACTCCTTGGTTCCATAGGGGAAGCTGATTTTGTGCTCAGTGTCGTACTGCGAGACCAGGTAGTTCATAATGGCACCGGACTCCCAGATGGTGAAGTCGTCGTTGTTGGGGTCAACTAGGACAGGGACCCGGCCATTGGGGTTAAAGGACGTAAGAAATGGGCCCTTGATTTCTTCGCGCGGGATATTGACGACTTCGTATGGAAGAGAAAGCTCGCAGAGGATAAAAGCAACTTTGGGGGGGTTTGGCGGGTGGAGGCTCCCGTAGAGTTTGAGGGGTTTGAGAGACATGTCAAAATCTTGGAAAGATGTCTTCGAGATGACAAAGTGTTAGAACTGTTGGCAACTAGTTGGGAGTAGATAGCAATCGATGAATTTGTTGTCTCAAGCAGTGTTCATCGGCAGAGTCCTGGCTGCTTTTATATCCAGACGAAGCCCTGATATCAAGTTATCAACTCGCCATAAACCGCATGGGAGCTTGAGTAAAGACATTTAGGTTTTAAAATGGCTACGTTTGCATTTGTCATTGGCATGAAGTTTTGAAATCGTTGAACCCCATCCTTGCATAATCGGCTCTAGTTAGTAGTGTTGGTGATGTTGGCTCTGTTGTTCCAGACCGGACTGCGGTACATCTCACATCCCGAACACGAAGCTGAAATCACAATTTCTTTTTACATCGTGTTGGTTTGCAAGGAACTTCTGCTTATAAATGGTTCGGCGTGGCGCGTCTCCGACTCGTTGTGCGTCACCCGCGGTTGAAAAGGTCCTTAACTGCCGCCTTGCAGGTTGGCCAGCAAGTCCAATTTGTAATGCTGGCCCCTAACTGGCTCACAAAATTGGTAACAAAGACGCCGGAACCAACAAGCCACGTTGCGGCATTCTGGATGACACTGAGCCCTTGAGTCATCAATCAAGACACTGTTGTTTCGTGCCCTAGTCATTCTTGATAGCGAAGCCTTGAACATTCTGCGTCTCTTGTATGTATGTACATACACTCCTTTGTATTCATTTCGAGAGCTTGAAGAGAACGTGTGCTACTCATAGTTCACAAATTCGAAAAAGACTTTAACGAATATCCTCTGTGCGTGCAGCCATTCCCTGACTACTGTTGGCACATTTCTTGAAGATCTGGCCCATAATCTAGTGGATTAAGACCATCCAACCCCCGCGAAGCATGCTAAAGTAAGTGCCTACTCACTTCAGAAATGTCATATTCCACACTTTTCGCATATGAATGCAGCATTGTGTATAATTCTTTGGCCCTTATCCTTAACTTTCGATTATGGTATTCACAATGTTAGCCCAACAGAATATCTGCAATTCGACTGTCGTTCTGTTATTAATAATAAATCCAGCGTTCCAAGAAGAGTTACTGTAAAATGGACTGTTAGATTTTAAATATGTAAAACAAAGTTTGACGGGAGTATGCTTGGGTAGCACGACCGTGTTAGAATCCTGTTGAGAACCATATGAACTAGAAAAGTGACGCGTGACAAAATCCCGGTTATAATAGCTTTTGACACACGAGCATAATACGGTATGTTCTTTTCATCCAACAATGCTTAGTGAAGCAAATAGGTAAGAATACAAAATAGAAGATATTATTTTGATACCCATTGAAACTCAAACCAGGAGTTGTGAGTAGCTAAAGCGTTGGATAACTGGTATCCAAGTACTCCGTAACCTGGGGGAATATGCTGGAAGTAGCCCGCCGAAGTTACACTAGATTGAGATCGAGATTGAGCAAAAAAGAAATCATCAAACTTCCAGGTTGCAAGAAAAGAAAACAAAAACAGAGTGTAATAAGTTTTCAATATTTAACCCCAATGCACGAAATAAAATAGCTTCTGTACGCGTTCTTTTATAAAAAGGGCAAAAACAGCCAAAGAGCGCGGTCGGTATTCCAAGTGATCGGGGTAAATACGAGGGGAGCAGGTGTCGGCTATTAAACTGACATGGGAAAAGAGAGATGCTCATCAAGAGCCAAAAGACGAAACAATATCTTAGAATGAGCCTCAAGTATACAAAAATTTTGAGGGAGGGGTTGGAAAAGAATTACAACAGCACATGGGTAATCTTAGAAAATACAGAAGGAGTTAGCAGAATGTTTTTAGGCTTTTGAACTTCAAATAGGTAATTCTGAGGGACTTTGCAGCTTAAAAAAAAAGAGACAAGACGACGAAAGCTTACCGAAAAAAGAATCAAAAGGCTGCGGCCGTCGAGTCATTAGAAGTCGTGATTATGACGCTGAAAAACGTGATAAATAAAAAAAGATGATAAAAACACCTCTCATCGTTGAAGCTCTCCTAACTGCTGCTTGTCTGTCGGTGTCTCCTTCATCCACGGAAACCAAACGTTGCACCATCGGATGACTCCGTAAATTGGAGAGTCATCATGGGGTTGTCGGGGCCCGCCACTCTCTCCATTCCTTTGTCTCCGCTGCTCCCGTAAAGTAGGGCATTTTTTCTCTTTAATGAACCGATAGTATTTGCACTGAATTCCCTGGAATCCGTTTCGTTGCCGGTCTGGAAACTGAGTGTTAAAACTCTCCCGGACTTGTTTCCACTCTTGACGTAAATCCACCCGGTGATACCAGATGAAGTACATTTCTTCCTCCTCATATTTTGGTCTAGGAGGACGGCGGCGCTCCGCGGTTGTAGATGAACCACTTGACACAGACGGAAATCGTTCTCGGTGGTTTGGCCGTGGAGAAGTACTCGCAGATGTATAGCCTCTGCCCAAAGGTTCGCAGTGGGTGTCTATTGGTGGTAGAGTGTTGCTGGGATATGGTATCTGAGGATAATTTGTTGGTGGATAACGTGGGAGTGCTCTCTGCTGATATGGATGATAGTGGTGGTGGTATGCCGCCGCTGGCCATGAGCCAGAAGAGCACCTCGGATAGACTTCATCATCGCCGTTGGGGTTTAGTAAGCTGTCGATTCTGATCCGTGAAGAATCGATTTCTGTCGGCGAGCGTGGTGCTGATACGTTGTACCTGCTGGACGCCATACTGCTGGTCTAAAAACACGGAGTTTGACGCAAGGACGGATTGAGTTTTAACGACGAGCGTCTCCGAATCGCTTCAAAAGACTTCGCTGATCGCAAAGTATTCGCTGGCAAAACAACTTTGTTATCAGAAGATGAGAGGATCTGTTTTCAAAGTTATCGTATGTTGTGATCAGGCTTAGGAGGAAGCCTCTTGTAGTCGAGCGAAAGGGCCGAATCTCAAAAAAATGCTAAGACTTGGGTTATCGGGCAGCGATAAGAAAGTCACAAGGTCGCAGAACCAAGTCCTATACTGATTTTGAAGCCTGCTATCGGATGTACAAAATTCCGCGTTGGTTAAGATAGCCCGTGCGACGTACGCTCCTTGTTGCGGTTAAATAGAGTGTTGAATGAGCGACCAAGGAGGACATTCGCAACACCGCCAAGTTGTCTTGTTTTGGCTTCGAGAAAGACTTAGAAATTACTGAAGTTCCGAACGATATAGCAATGAATGCCTTGTCTGAAGTGTATAATCAGCTTGATATATCCAGCGGTGTCAGACATCAAAGAGTCGATGGTAGGAGATAGTAAAAAGGTGCAGACAGAGGCTATATTAGTATGGCAAGCAAATGATATCGCATGGGGAGTTCCAGCTGCCTAGAAAAGAAGGTAATAATAGTACTGTTTGGGATGAGGTGATACACGAATGCATGTACATACAAAAAGAGTAAAAAAATTAGAAAGGAATAAAACCGTGCCCAAACAGGTACTACGACATGCGGGCGAATGGCAGGGGTGGAATATTTGGGAGGGAGGGGGATCGTAATACCAACCTGAGAAAATTGGGCAAAATATTCCCATGCAATTAATAGAGAGGAGCGGGCGTAAGCTAAACCAGGGCAGAAGAGGAGAGGGGGCGGAAAGATGATAATGCAGCATAGGGCGGATGAAAGCCAGGGAACGAGTGAGATATAAAAGTTACAGGGGACAAACAAATAGAGTCATAAAGGTTCCAGTAAAGCAAAGTTACCAGTTCAGACCACGCATACATAGACGCCAGACCCCAGTCGCATATGTATCGAATCATCCGAGGTGCCACAAGAGTCAGAATCAGTAAGTAGTGGTAACCGTCAACCAGGAAGCTGGTACCAGTTGGGTCGAAGGCAGCAGGTGGTAAGCAAAAAAAAGGGAATTCAGGAACAAAAGAACTGCGCACCAAAAGGTTCCGCTTCTCGAACCTAAAAAAAAATTTAGAGATAAAGGAAGGTTCTTCATGGCCGGTGGGGAGGCCAACGGGGAATTCTGCAGCGAAGGAGTTGTAGATATAGATGTCAAGAACATAAACACCGCTCTTTTTAAAGAGCCTACTCTATAGCAACATGAGCGGACTCTTAGTGGGTTATTTCGTGGAGGTAGAGCCTCAAGTACCCCCACCCACTGCATGGCTACATTGCAGCATGGTTGGAGGCGGACAGTCCAAGAGGCCCAGCAAAGCAAGACGCTGTGGCCCAGCCCCGACGCATGACAAATGGATCCTGTTGGTTGAGAAAGCCGCGGGCCTAAAAAAGAACGAAAATGGTTTATTTTTTCTTTTCGCAAATCGTTTTTTAACCTTGGCCTATTAGCGGGTTTATGAAAGCGCGAAAATGGGTGGCTTTTGCCCTGGCACCACCCAATCAATGCGTCTCAAGATTGAGTGATTTTACCCTAAAAAGCCAAAAAAAATATCAGAAAAAAAAGAAAAAGAATCTTCAGAACCACGGCCAGGACAGAGCGACTCGTATCGTGTTCCCTGAGGTAGACGTGCCAGGCAGTCCCAGTCGAATCCACGAGCAGCATATATGTATTGGTGGGCGGGTGTATGGAAGGGAGTATGTATGTACATTAATGTACCGGTATGCTGTCGCTCCCTGTCCATTCGGCCTTACCCGAAGTGTGGAATACGGGCGCATTCCTGCATCCCGCACAGCATGGAGGCATTATTAAGGCAACCCTGGGGCTCTAAAGGCGACACGAAGCATGCGAGCATCAACACGGGCAAATCAGACGGTGCCCACAGGTCGCTGGAAGTGTTGGATGGGGCGGTTGATGCGCGCAGGCTCGGGAGGATTGAAGAACGTCGTTCATGGGAGGCGTCGAATGGGGCATGAAGTGCAGGGCTTAGTCACGCCATTGGCGCCAGTGTGCATTGGGAACGCTTGGGGCTTGAAACAGCCGCAGATCGCAGGGATCAGGTGACTAGGGCTCGCTAAAGACTCCCGGCTTGTCCAAAATAGCGCAATACCGGCGCGTTACGCGCATTACGGGGCCCGCTGCCCATGGCGTACCGTATGGAATACGCTCCGATTCGGTCAGCCAGCACCGGCGCAGCGAGAACGGCGGTCCGTCTGGCGATAGACAGCCTGCTACTAGAAAGTATGATCTCTCTCTCTCCGTTTCCCTTCCCCACCGGCCCGTTTTTCGGAATGTGATACTGTGACGCATAGCCTCATCGGTGTGACCTCAGCAAGGGACTGTGCCCGATGCGGCGGACAATCCTTTCTCCCTCGGACGATGCTGCAGAGGGCTATCAATTGATGTACATACATGCATGAGCCGTACGTCTGTACCCTGGCCAAAGTCTGAGTTTACCAATCTTCAATTGTTGTCTCTCGGTGTCGTATATCGGAAATCCCACGTCCCGCCAAGCTTGAATCAGACCAGCCGCCAGGTCCAGGCGAGGCCCACGATCTTGACTCGAGAATCCTATAGCATGGGCGCATGCCAGACAAAAAAAAACAATAAAATAAAGAAATAAAGAGTGCGCCGTGTGAGACCTCGATACGCCGTGGTACAGGCTTGAGCACCTGCTGCTGGCCGAAGCTAGGCTGGTCCCCATCTGCCCATTTCTCAAATCTGGGGCTAAGGGGGTAACAGAGCTGTCGCGCCGTCCGAAACACCGCGGGGGGGAGTACGCAGCTTCGTCTGCCCGAACCAAGCATTTCCTCGTTAGTTTCTGCCCGCCAGGCGAATTACGGAGTCAACCGTCTCGTTGGGTCAGATCCTGCCAACGGAAGATGGCCGGCTGGCGGGTGACCTGATGCTGCGCAGCTAACTTGGTCGTGAGAGTCTTTTACCCGCTGGGCCACTTCTCAGCAGCTCCTTCACCCTTGTTCTGCCTGGTAGGGACCCTTAATCTTAAAAAAGTTGTTTTCGCCTAGACAAACCTTGGGGATTATTCGGGCGGTCAATAATAATGAGACTCATTAATAATTCTCGCGGCCCCAACACCTCCCGGTCCACCCTCAGCAGGAGCACGAAGGGCCCATAGCGGAGCTAGGAAAATCAGTCTTGGGCCATGTACTCCGTACATATGTCCGATGCACCGTGGACTTGTTTGCTAGACATTTGGGCCAAATACCCCAGAACCCCCTCCTTCGCCCGCCATCTGCTGCTCTGCTACAAATGCCGGGAGCAGATATTAGGCATAATCGGTTTTATGGTGATAAATTGTGCAAAAATTATGCTATTGCTGCTCACCAGCATGGCGCTGGTGCTGAGATTATGGCGAAAATCAGCCCCACACGTCCGAAGCCACGACGGAGGCATTATTCAGAACGGAGGCACAGATATAGAAATTTCGAACGAAATATTGCCGTGCGACCCACTGCATCTCCGCAAACATATGCTGGAGTTGGCAGGCCACCGAAACCCCAAGCGATCTCTTGCTTCAAGAAACTTAAGTCGGTTTAAACTTCCTTTGTTGTGGGTGTGAATCTCAAACCAAGATATCGTCACCCCAAACCACTCACATTTCGCCATATAACCTAGGTACGGCACAGCAGAATGACGTGGTGCGAGTAACCGGAACCGGAAATCTCAGCCATAGAGTTTGAGAACTGCGACTGAGCCGGCTGCTATTGCCCTTTGCTGGCCGAGAGCGGCCAGCAAAAGCGCGTGAAAGTTTTGCACGGTCGCAATGATTCTTCGAGAAGGGTTCCAAAGGGCCGACCCGACGGTCTGGAAACAAGGTAGCATTGAAAAAAAAAACGCACGGAAGACGAGGCAAATTGCCAACAGAGCCAGGCATTTGATATTCATCCCCGCCATGGTCGCTAATAATGCTGAAGGAACCCCATCCCTACCCTGCCCTTCCCAGTCAACATTACCATGGTCGGTGCTCAATAATAATAGCCTAATCATGTCATCCATTTGTAATGGCGATCGGAGGCAGGCGGTTAGACCTGGCTCGTTTTTGCAGCATTTGGGCCGCACCACAGCGAGGGGGTATCAGAACTCGAGAAATTATTTGAAATAGCATTGACCTATGCTAATCCCGTCGCGTCGCATCGAAAGAAAGTTCTTCATGGGAGATAAGAGTGGCGACGGATCAAGATTAGCGCCCCTCGGGATCCGTCGTGTCAGAGGTGAAGAATTTGTCAAAGGCGATGGGCTGAAACGGCTTAATTCCCTTGAAGAACACTCGGGCTTCGAATCACAGTGAGAGAATTTTGGTTGGGAAGCATGGCGATGCGTTTAGCCTGCATATGGTAGCAGTTGGCAATGAAAGCTAGGCGGGCGGTGGCACGCCAGCCGGGCACAGGACACCAAAGCGGGCACGCACGCGAGTCCAGAGGACATGGGGTATAAGAATAGCAGCTGACGGCGAGCCGAAGGTGGTCTGATATTCGCGATGCGCTTTTTTTATTTTTATTTTTTTGGTCGTTTTTCTCACTGAGAGTGTAGCAAGCACCGAAGCCAACATGTAGCGGCGGCTTTTTATTGGACAAAACACCCCTGCACCTTGGCTCGGGGTGAACCGTGGTGCCGGGACGGCCCAGCCAGTCAGAAGTGCGAACGGGCCCCGCTCGGTGGGAACCGCTGTGAAGGTTACTTTGGGCAGGAGCTGGGGGGAGAGCGGAGGAGAGAGGGAAGCTGCCACCCACCGCCGGCAGCTGCGGGCGTCCGTTGCCGCGCGACTAGCTTGAATAAACAGACGGCGACCGGCAGCGAAGGGGGCGGGCTAGGGAAGTAGCTGGCCAGTGGCGGCGCCTGCAGAGGAGCCAGCAGGAAAACGAGCGGCCCAAGGAAGCCCGGCCAGAGTCACACGGCAACCTCGCCTTCACGGCGATCCTCTCCAGCATGTGTCAGAAAGGGCCGATCCACGCGGACCACATACTATTGGGGCCATGTCCAACAGCCTGGGAGGTCTGGGTCGACGCTCCGGTAGTATAGAGGAGGCTATGCCGCTGTAGGCCACTATACCGCCTAGTTGGTGAGCAGGGCAGCCGGCCAGCCTCTGGGTATGTGATGGAGCGCGGAGTGCAGACTGCCGCTTAACTTCTAGAGACAACTCCCCCATGCACAGCAAACACTGCCAAATGGACGTGGACCTCGAGTTAGGCTGTCGCAATCTGGGCCGATCAATTATTCAGTCCACTGCAAGCCATGCGAATCAGCGGCGATGCTCGCAGCCGCGTCGCTTCACACGTTCTCACTGGCGGGCGGTGGGGCTCAAGGCATCCTGTCTTGATATACGCTGTGCAGGCGTAACGGTGCATACCGTTCTGTGACCGTCAGCGTACCGTACGGCCGCTTGCGCCGCCGGGGAACGTGTAACGCTGAGCTGCGGAGAACCCGCAGCGACGAATCGTCACGTGATTTGAGCCGCCCGCGACGATTGGCCTACTCGAGCCCGGCGGCCCGCTGCCCGGCGGCTGTTGCCCCACCCGACTCGCTCTCTTTGTGTGCTTGCATCCTTGGCTTGGCTTGGACCGCCGTTGCACTTGCCCGTTCTGGAGATTGAATGCCCGCCGATGACGCGCCGTTTCCGTCACATACACGGCCGTACGGATTGCGCGCGGAACCATACACGTCACAACCTCCCTAATGCGCCGCACCGCGCCCTCGTTGACTGGAAGCCGCGGCCTCAACACCAGACAGGGCCACGACGCCCCATGCGCCTGCACGCCCGCACATATGTAACCTGGCTGTCTGGATGGACGTATACGCCGCTCGTGCTGGATGATTTTTGGGGCGGCACGCCCGCTGTTCACAAGCAATGCTTGAATAACTGGCGACCAGCCCTCCGCTCTTCCGTGCCACCGCAGCTTGGGCCTCGTCATCTCCCTAATTCCAGGCATCTGCTGGCCCTGTTCTTTTTTTGGCCAGCCGGCAGCCGCCAAATGTCAAGTTGCGAAGCTTCTGCCCAACGGCCGCCTGTCGAAGGGTCATGCTCTTCGCGCGTTTCCACTTCATCGCCGGGATATGCATGCCATGCAAGCCTGCACTAGAGCTGCTTCTCGCCCCCTTTCCCCCATCTCCCCCCCCCTCGTACGTGGCTGTAGCTTGACCAGGGCAGAGCAACGCAGGAGTAGATCGTGCACCAGGGAGTCCATGCAGGAAGATTTGAGATTCACCAAAACAACCATGTATGGTGCCGTACCACCCCCGTCCTTGTTCCGCCAAGTCCGAGGCCAATGTGGATGAAGAAAGCAAACGCGTCTGTCGCCCAATCCTCGCCATTCTCGCCCCAGCAAGCGCTGTGCCACTTCCAGTCACCCGCATATGAGACATACTGTTGCTCCGTCGAGGAAGGCGGACAAAATGCATTTCGTATTCTACCTCCATCAAGGGTGAATTAAATGACGGGGGTTGGGAAGACATCCAGCCTTCTGGCCTCTCATGAGGCTGATTTTCTAAGCTCCCCTGGAGAGGGCTGAACATTAAGCATCTCTTTCTTTGGTCCGTTCTTCGGCGCGTCCGACTCGAATCACAATGTGCCATTATGGGGTTTCCTGGCGCACTTGCAGGGGGGCTTGCCTGGTATATGCCCACATACGGAGTACATACCTGCCTGCTGGTCTGCCAACCTCATTATGTCCTGGAATATCTTTTCCATGGCACATCAAGTCTCGAATTCCTTTTAATTGAAGTATTCCTCTCGATCCTGTTGGCTCTCTTGTTGTCTTGGATTGCAGCTGTGCCTCAACCAGCATCTGGGCCATGTCACTGTTTCACTGTCGGTTCGCCTAGTAAGTATTGTGCATGTATGTAGCTCCATTATACTTCGTTACCAATGGCCCCCAAAACTTCTCCCCTCCTAGCACCAACACGCGCTCCTTTTGAATTCATTGGATCGCCTCCTCTCGTGAACCATGCAACCCGCCCAGATACTACTGCACGGCGGCCTTACCGTAGTCATCTTCGGAGGAATTGTAGAATCGAGTGGCCTTGCGCCATGAGCATCGACTATCGTTTCCAGAAGCGTAATGAATAGGAGAAGGTTTCGGTAACAAGTTGCACTAACGGCGTTATTTTCTTTTCTGGTTCGGAACTTGGCGAGGGCGAACTTGATGGCATACGTCAACTCTGAACCTCGAAGTAATAATAATGCACTGCGCTTTCTTGAAATCCATACACGTTGGGTATGATCATCCTCTCGGTGCTGGCCTTTAAGCCGCTTCGATGGAAAAACGTGCGCGCTCGGACTCATCTGCAGCTCCGTATACGGTTTGTGCCAGGAACCTATAATCAAGCTGGTTGAGTGTCTTCTTTGTCTGCTAAATACAGGCTATCATGCCCAAAAAAGGATTTTTGAGCTCCCATCTGCGGGTCTTGTTTCTGCCGTTTGGTTTTCGATTTGTTTTCCTGGGTATTGCCGAGCCGTCTCTATTCCCACCGCAAAGGGGATCTGCCTGGTTGCACAACGGACAGTGGGAAATCTGACCTCCGATTCTATGCTATTGGGTGGATTGAGCGCGCGTCTTTGAGAAAATTGGCTGGCGGCGCAATTCTCGCGCTGGAGGGAGGTCTGGACTGGGAGAATCGGTCTCCTACAGAGTTCCCAGGCGACTGATGGACGAGAAGCACTAATGGCGCGGAATGCTGTGTTCCCTCCTTGGGCTTTGATGTTAGGACCCTGGATTGACCGGCTGCGGTGATACACACGTCGTTAGCCTGTCCGCTTTGCTGGAAAGAGCATTGCACCTCGAAATGTTTGCTTGGATGGCAAACTCACCCAACATCTCCGTCATTCACATGTCCACTGGACACTCTCATCTTTGTGATGTGCAAATCAAAATCTTTGAATGGAGGGGACTTTGTTGTCTAAGCAGCGAAGGTTGAAGCCAACGCTGTCACGTTGGACAATCAGCAAAGGAGCCGCCAAGTAAGGCTGACGGGACGAACACCAAGCTGGCACCTTGAGAAGTGTAACGACTTCTCGCCTCCGCCGTTTTTCGAGGTCATGCTGTGTGACATGAAGTAGTGCATCTCAGATCTACCTGTTAAATAAGCGATTTGACCTCCAAAGAATGACTCCGTTCGACATTCAGGCTGTTGAACAACATGTATACTACCAATGCATGGGCCCTTTTGTCTTTTGTAGGTATGGCTACACCTTTCGGGAATCCAAAACAAAGACTGCCTTGAAAATACTACAGCTATATAGAGCTAAGTGCCTGTCGTATCACGAGTTGGAGACCGTGATCCATTCTCCTGGTCAGCACGGCAACACAAGATGAGAAACAGACACACAAGATACATTAGGTTGGGGTTTATCTACATACATAGTTCTCGAGTCATGAAATGAGAAAAACAGAACAGAATCCTGATCATTTACTACTGCGACGCTAGCCACTGAAAGCAAGAATTGGTGCATACACCTCTAGACTACTGAAATAGCACACTAAGGGAGCCCGACGTCTTATTTCTGACAACCTTCTTGCAGTTATTGAATACTATTTTCCCAGCGCGGGCAATATTTGCCGTGTAACAACACATAATTTCAAGCAAATCCGGTAATCAAGCCAAGCAACAATTTATTCGCCCACAGTTAACTAAATACCCTGATACAGCAATAAGAACTTAACAGATAATAATTCTAGGTAGCCTCGCACTCCATAGACTCCGTCAGGTAGGCAAGATCAAACTCTTCCAGTAATTCCGTCACCGTCAGCTGCTAAGTGAGCGAGGCTAGATGGTCCATTCAAATAGTATTATTCATTGCAATACACCGAAATATTTTACTCCCAGTGGACTCCTGTAGCTAGTTCACAGCTACAAGTATGGAAAATCCCAAAATTAGTGAATTATTTCTTCACAAATAAAAAAAAAGAAAAAGGGGGCCCTTACGGGTCAGGGCCAAACTGCACGTTGGTCTGTTCCCATATATCCTCACGGATAAGGTTGGAACGTAGGCGGACAGCATGGTCAATGGAGCAAAGATGGAAAGTGACGGTTCGAATTTTCTACGAAGCCAGTTAACCGATGGTAAGCACTTGGGGAGGATACGGCGTAGCTTACGCTTGAAGCATCGAACGTATCGACGATTTTCTCCAGCCTGAAGTTTCGCCCTTCAACAAAATCTACCATGCTTTTCATGCTTATAGAGGTATCTGCACCGACAGCCCGAATCACTCGAGTTGCCCCCAAATCCAGTAATTCTTGAATGCGGGAGCTGATGATATCCACCTCTTGATATTGGTCTACAAAAATAACCGCTTTGTGGCCATTCCTGTTCACCTCGATCCCATTGGGATAGAAGTCATAGTACTTTTTACAGGCCGCTGGGTTACAGAAGAGTACGTGTGCAGATTTTGACTGTGGTAAATACTGTACAGACTCAATACGGCCGCCATGGATAAGCGAAAGGATCTTGGTCGGAGACGCCAGGAATTCAGGAATTGGAGAAAGAACGATTCGGCGAACCTCGGCGCCTAGAAGTAGCTCATTAGAAAAAGCAATACCGCACCAGGTGGAGTTCCGTTGAAGAAAGTTCTTACTTGGTTTTGATCTTGGTGGAGGTGTCCCCCAGCTGGAAAAATAATCCAGATGTTCGCGGTCCTCTTCAACTGGAGGACCAGTTGGGGCCATATAGGAAGGTTTGCTAATTGTGCTTGGATTTCCTGGCCCCTGTTTTCGCGGGATAACTATGTCCTCAGCTTGTTGTGAAGTATCTACCGCAATTTGGGTTTTTAGGTAGTGCCCAGCTTTGACTGCCGAAACCATGTCAGCGTTTGTAGAAGACTACATCGACTGATACTTACTGCTCTTATTGGAACCGGGTGGGTTGTTCATCGTAGCAGCAACTTCTGGCTTTTTAAGGGTCTGTGTAGACCGGGCGCGAAGAACAGCCATGAAGCCTGATGTGTCATCAACATTCATAACAGCCTGAGATGAGACTGTTCTGTAAGTCTGCTGTTTCGCTTTTGGAGCTGAAATCTTATTGACGGGTGCCACTCTTCTTTCAGTGGCAGCTGGAACAGCCCACCGACTTGCCTCCAAGCCCTGACGGGTAGAGGTCTCGCTAAGGCTGTTGAATGCGTCGAATAACACTTGTCCAACATGCGCGGCTTGCTTTTCAGCCTCTCTCGTTTCGGCCGTGTCTATTATTGGCTTCACACCTAGAGTTGGGGGTATGCTGTTTCGATTATCAGGAATAGAATGGTTTGCCGAGATCCAACGCTCGTTTCTGCCAGATAATCGACTCTCTGTGAGTCGGCCATTTGGAAGGGGCTCCCATTTGTTCTCCGAGTGCGGAAAATCTACTTCTGCCTTCTTAATAGGACTGACTGACTTCTTTGGTCTGATTTGCTGATTGTTTTGACCTGGCAGAACGTGCATACCCCTAGACTCTTCAATCTTAATAGATTCAGTAGAAGCTGATGATATAGGGGAAGTAGCATTAGTTCCAGACTCCTTCTCTAGTGAAGGTGTTTGTTCCCGCATTCCATGGTCTGCGAGGGGAGAGTTCACAGTCGAGTGATGTCTAGCAAAAGCCTGTGATTGAACAGATGCATTATACAGAGGAGGGGAGGTAGGCAGATCTTGGTATGACATGATAGAGTATTGTTGAAGAGCAAAAAATGCCCAGTTTGTGGGAGCTTTAAAAAAATGTAACGACGTTGAAGGGTGTCGCTGAAAGGTGTATGGAAGCCTTGTGTTGAAATAGGTGAAATTTAGGAGGGGTGGTAATTTTGGGGGAGTAGAAAAATTCAAGCAGTCAAAATCTGGGAATCACCGAAGATGAAAATCCTGAACAGTTGGCAACAAGAGGTGGTTGGGCGAAACAAGGAAAGTTGGCTCACTCCTTTGTTCAACTTGTAAATGGAAGTTCTATTAACACCATAACGTGCAAATTTACCTTATTGTGAAGACAGAACTATTTCTATCAACCATTCAACCAATATAGGTTTGGAGCCGGGAGGTCCAACAAAGGCTATATATGCCCTTAAATAATAGGAGAAAACATATAAAAATTGCCATATTCTGGTTGGATATGACTTTAAGGGAACAAAGTTGCTACGCTTGCTCTCATATATGGCATCATAATGACCGCAAATAAGGCTCTGGATGCAATGGAAACACTCTAAATGGTATCATATAAAGCCCAACTGCCATGAAACTCCGAATATAACACAACCGGCTGAAAGTAGACCGGCGAGAGAGAGAACACCGTTTACTCAGATGGTACTGGTAGCATTTCCCAGTTCTTTTGCCCCTTCTTAGGATTGGTGATCATCACCTGCAAAGCGCGGCGTCCGCAGAAGCCGCCTGTTCCTGCAGTTCGGATCACTTTGTTGTAGGACTTGCCTTTAGGGTCCCAGACCTTTTGCTCAACCTTGTTGCCTCCCCGTTCTTCACGGCGAGGATTGTACCATGGCATGCCAACAAGATGGTTCAGAATATTATGAGGCAAAGAATAGAGCCTTTCAAACCTTCTAGTAAAGCTTAACCAAGAGAGAGTGGATGTGTCGTATGCAACGCGGATGTAAGGGTTCATATAAATTCCGGTACTAGTGGGCTCCTTGGATTTGTGTGGTGGGATTTGAATATCGGCATGTATTAGGCAGCATTCGCTCGCATCCCAGTAAGGATCTGTTTCCGCTCTAAATCGGACCGGATGAAACGCTTGGGTGCGCACGTCGCTCTTACCACTATGTGAAGCACTAAGAGACGGTGACGATACTGCTTGAAAAAACGATGCATCGAATGCAACCATGCCACCCCAGCAGCTTCTAACCCGAACAGCATCTCGTTGTTCTAATATATCACGACGACTTTCACCTTTACCAGCTGTAGAGAACCAAGGGTAGAAAGGAACTCCAGTAGAGTAACCCTCTAAATCTCGGGCGGCAAAGGTATCGTAGAATTTGAAGGCGTTAATAAAATCCACAGCGCACGCCGCGCGATATTGGGCCTTCCCGTCATCATTGGCATTCGTGGAAAAAAGAAGCTGCGCAGCATCTACTGGGTTGAAAAAGACATCATTTAAATAAAGCAGTTTATCGAACCTCACCTGGTCTGGTTCATCAAGGGGGCGCAAGGCACGATTACGCACTTCTGCCAGGAAAGCAATCCGTTTCACGCGTTCGGAAGAACCTGGAAGGGCTATATGCTGAACATGCTTCAAATCCAGATGGGGTTCGTATATCATTGAGTGGTTACACGGAACCTTCTTTTCCATTTCACGGAGTGCGATCAAGGAGTCATCCCCGGAATCATTCTCATACACGCTTAAATACGTGTTATCTGGTCCCAGAATGTCAATTAGATCTAGGACGTTCTTGCCCCACTGGCCACGCGCAAGTTTTCCGTCACGGTCATATATGCTTGCAGCGATGAAGACCTTTTCGTTGCGTGGATTACCGCGGCCGTGGTTCGAGGAGCCTAGGATACTGTCTCGAAGAATATTATAATGGGATGGCCTTTGCGTATAGGAAGGGCGGAAGATAGGTGTGAATAGAATAAGGATGCCTAGGATTGCGAAGAGGCAGTGTAGAGCAAAGCACAAGCGACGATACCTGCAAGGGTGACATAACCGTCGGGACTTCTTTAAGCTTAATTTTGACTGGATTCTGCGGTTGCGGAAGAGGCGTTGATGGCGAAGAAAGGGGACGGAAAGGAAAATGCGATTGAGTAGCGAGGTTCTCTGTTTTGGGTAGCTTGGGCTGGTCAAGGATTGAGCTTCGAAATCTGCGGCGTCCAGGTCGAAACTGTCTCGGGAATCCAGGGACGACCGGGACACGAGCTCGTACTCGTCGGGATGCAGAAGCCGCGGAGCCATTGCGGCATCGAACCGCGAAAGCCGCGTTCCTTGACTTGATACAGGATGAGAGCGTGTCTCACGGTCTGCAGCGCGGCTTTACGCGCTCCGGCGGCCGCCGAGCCGCGTGCAAACCCAGCAAACAAAGATTGCCACGTGAAGCAGCGCGGCAAACGCCAACTGAGAAATCTCCACACAAGACGAAGTCGATGCGGGATTTCGGGGGTTGAGTGGCACCCCTTCTTCGCTCGGCACAGGGCGTCTGGAGGCCTCGGGGCCCGGAGGTTTAAATGTTGCTCATGTTGACTCATTTGCCCAGACCGTCAGTTTCGCCCCTAGGCAGAATCGTGTTGACACTGGGCCGCCGAGCTCCAGGGATGGCCGCTAACACATGGGTCCGCCTGTCTTGGGTCCCGAATAAAATTGCAAAATGAGCTCTGTGAAAGAGCTTAAGTTTGCCTTCCGTCTTTCTTTTATGTCTGGCTGAGGAAGCCGTCACATCGGTTTCCTTGGGTCTTTTCTCTTGTACGTATATATCTCTAGAGTCTCTATCCGCATTTTCTTCGAATTTATCTTTCTTCTACGGTTTTCTTATATACTTATTTCCAATGCGATAGCCTAGACTGTGGCTCCACTTTTTACACCTGGAGTTCCTGTTCCTTCGCGCACATACTCTGTACATACATAGGGTCGCGACTTAGTGCGCCTCCCTTTCAGGATGAGCTCGAACGAGCGACAGCTGCAAATACAGCCTGAGGTGCTGGATAAAAATCAACTTTCATGCGAGGAGAAGACGCAAAACACTGGAACCAGTGTAACAGCAGCTGATGTAGCGCGTGATACTATTCTTGATGTTGAGACAACAAGTAAAGATGGGAAGGGCAAAGAGGACGATGAGTCCTCGGGTGGCTTTGGGGCTTTTCTGGTTAGACTATTCCCCGGCCAATTCATGACATTATCCGTTAACGAGGCATAGAAACTGTGGACCTGGTGTACTCCCATCGATATTGTGCTTCGTACCTGCGGATTTCTTGCAGCAATTGGTTCTGGAACGGTATGTGCGCAGATCTGATAATTATTTGGAGGAATAACTTCTGACTTTCGAACCCCTTACTGGTTTGTGTTCAACTCAGACTCTTCCGTTAATGACTATTGTTTTTGGTAAATTCGTCGACGAATTTAATGATTATGGAAAAGGTACTGTCTCGCCAGAGCAGCTTCGGAGGTCAATTTCGAAGAATGCGTGCGTATTCCTCCTGAATTTGCTGCTGGCTGTTTCTGCAACTGACTGGCGTATATTGTAGTCTCTATTTGGTATACCTCTTTATTGCGAAATTCTTTGTTCGTTAACCCTTGGTGCTATAGTTTACGCTTTGGTTCATATCCTCTAACATTCAATCATAGGCGGTTTACATCCACACCAACTGCTTTACGATCACAGCCATTCGTAGTGTACGCCGTCTTCGGTTAGAGTACGTGAAGGCGATCCTCAGGCAAGATATGGCATACTTCGACACATACACTCCGGGTTCAGTCGCGACTCGAATATCTAACAATGCAAACCTTATTCAAAATGGGCTCTCGGAAAAGGTTGGGACCGCAGTGCAAGGCTTCGCCATGCTCATTGCGGCCTTTGTTGTTGCGTTTACCCAAAGCTGGAGACTAACCCTGCCGGTGGCGACCTCCATCCCAACCGCCGTGACACTTGTGGGAATAACAGTAGTGCTGGACGCCAAATTAGAAGCTAAGGTATTGGATATCTATTCGAAAGCAGGTGGTCTTGTGGAAGAAACACTAGGAAGTATTCGGGTGGTCACCGCTTTCGGCGCTGCTGGAAAGCTTCGAAAGAAGTACGATGAACATTTAGACGCAGCAAAAGGGTACGGAGTGAAAAAGGGGCCAGTTCTTGGCGTTCAGTACAGCTCGGAATTCTTTATTATGTATTGCGCATACTCTCTTGCCTTTTGGTATGGTGTTAAGCTCATCACTAAGGGTCAGATTGGGTCTGGCGGGGAAATTCTCACGTAAGTGATATCTGGACTTACTGTGGGATTGACTATTCTAATCCTCTTTACAGGGTCCTATTTTCTGTCGCACTTGGTACTTCCTCTCTTACAATGATATCCCCCACGATAGGCGATTTCACAAAAGCCGGAGCAGCCGCCAACGATGTGTTGAAAATGATTGCTAGAGTTCCTGCGATTGATTCTATGAGCCAAGAAGGGTTGAAACCAGAGCAAGTCAATGGCGAACTCGAATTGTCTGGTGTGTCGTTTTCGTACCCTGCAAGACCTACCATTCAAGTACTCAACAACGTTGCTCTCAAAATTCCCGCTAGAAAAGTTACAGCTCTAGTTGGCGCAAGTGGAAGTGGTAAGAGCACTATTGTTGGGCTTCTGGAACGATGGTACGACCCTGCAGAAGGCATAATACAGCTTGACGGACACAATATCAAAGATTTAAATGTGGTATGGCTACGAAGTCAGATTGGACTGGTGCAGCAGGTAATTCAATAGACCTTCAATGCTTTTTTTATCCACACTCACACGAGACTAGGAGCCTGTTCTTTTTAACGACACTATTTATAATAACATCGTCCATGGCCTGCATGGAACCGAGATGGACAAGTACGCTGAGCCGGAGAAGAGAAAACTTGTGAGAGAAGCCTGCATTGAGGCAAATGCAGACGAATTCATACAGACATTTCCCAAAGGATATGATACCGTCGTTGGTGAACGAGGAAGCCTGCTAAGTGGAGGCCAAAGACAAAGAGTTGCCATCGCACGCAGTATCATTTCGAATCCACCAATCTTGCTTCTTGACGAGGCTACTTCTGCCCTTGACCCTCGAGCCGAAGCCGTTGTCCAAGCCGCCCTTGATAGAGTATCACGAACTCGCACCACAATATTGATTGCACACAAACTTTCAACGGTCAAAAAGGCAGATAACATTGTTGTAATGAACAAGGGTGAAGTTATTGAGCAAGGGACACATGAAGGCCTTTTGGAGGCACATGGCGCATACTGGAATCTCGTTAATGCCCAAAGTCTCTCCACAATTGTCGACGACGACTCTTCGGATACCGATCCTAGTGTCGAAGATCCCAAGTCAACTGATCTAGAAAAAATAGCCACTTCAAAATCTGCCCGCAGTCATGCAGTTAGTGAGGTTGTGGAGGAGACGCCCGACGTGTCTAGAAAAATGTCACTTTTCCGATGCTTGGTCAAAATATTCTATGAGCAACGCCGTTACTGGGTCTATTTCACTTTCGGTGGTATAGCATCTGTTTGTGGAGGCGGCGCCTTTCCTGCACAGGCCGTTCTCTTCTCGAAGATTGTAACCATATTCCAGCTTCCCTTGGAGATGTTAAAAGATCGGGTGAACTTTTGGGCCCTTATGTTTTTGGTTCTGGCTATTGGCGTTCTCTTCTCATACGCCTCTGTCGGATTTTTCTTGACTGTTGCCGCTTTCCACGTATCGCGCTTCTATCGCAGTGAATACTTTGGGGCTATGTTATCGCAGGATATCGGCTTTTTCGATCTCCCCGAAAACTCCTCTGGAAGTCTTACAGCACGACTCTCTACGGACCCTCAAGCTCTGCAAGACTTGATATCATCCAACATTGGACTGATCGTTATTGTTCTTGTGAATCTCGTATCTTGCACAATTCTTGCTCTCGCTACTCAGTGGAAGCTGGCTCTCGTCGCTCTGTTTGGCTGCCTTCCGCCTTTGTTTTTATCGGGATTCACGCGTATGCGAATGGAGATGAAAAGTCAGGACAGAAACGCAAAAATGTATCTTGAAAGTGCTCGATTCGCAGCCGAAGCTGTCGGAGCCATTCGCACAGTTTCTTCTCTCACCTTGGAATCGAAGGTGTACGACAGCTACGGTGAACGTCTGAGGGGACCTGTTTCAAGGTCTTACAAACATACCGTTATCAGTATGATATTTTTTGGTCTCTCCGACAGTATTGACCAAGCAGCAATGGCATTGGCCTTTTGGTACGGTGGGCGTCTTCTGACATACGGTGAATTCGGCGCTGAGAGTTTTTTTGTTGTTTTTGTGGCAATCATTTTTGGTGGGCATGCTGCCGGGTTTCTCTTTGGATTTACACTGAGTAAGTTTTTTTTCCAGCTCATATTATATCCAAATCGATCGGCTGATGAATTTTAGATACAACCAAGGCTCATGCTGCTGCAAACCAGATCTTACACCTCCGACAACAAACTGCACCAATCAATGACTCGAAAGGTGTCCCTCTGGCCAAAGATGACTCGGACGTTGCGATCGAATTCAAGGACGTATCATTTCACTACCCTAGCCGACCAAATCATCCAGTACTTCGCAAGATCAACCTCAAAATCTATCGTGGACAGAATGTTGGTCTTGTTGGGGCCTCAGGGTGTGGCAAGACCACAATCATGGCGCTACTTGAAAGGTTCTACGATATATCGTCGGGAGAGATTCTCATCCATGGGCAATCGATTTCTGCAATCGACGTCAGGGAATATCGAGAAAGCGCAGGCCTGGTTTCTCAAGAGACTACTCTCTACCAAGGCTCGGTTCGAGAGAACGTCGCACTTGGAGTCCACTCAGGTCCTGTCACAGATGATGACATTATAGCAGCTTGCAAGGACGCAAACATTCACGACTTTATCCAGTCTCTTCCTGATGGCTACAATACTGAATCAGGCTCCCGCGGGCTGACCTTCAGCGGAGGCCAAAGACAGCGCCTCGCTGTTGCCCGAGCCCTCTTACGGCATCCTGGGTTCTTGTTTCTCGACGAGGCTACCAGTGCCTTGGACACGGAGAGTGAGCGCATCGTCCAGGCGGCGCTGGAGACAGCCAAGAAAGGTAGGACGACGATCGCAGTGGCGCATCGTCTTAGCACAGTACAAGACTGTGATGCTATATTCGTGCTCGACGCGGGCCGGATTGTGGAGCGGGGTACGCACCAAGAACTCTTGAGAATGAAGGGCAGGTATTACGAGATGTGCCAGGCGCAGAGTTTGGACAGAGAGGCATAAATTTTATCCACCGTCCCGCATGATGATCCATAATATACGGAGTTTCCCGGGGGTTTCGCTTCTACACCTGTTTTCTTCTTAATAAAATAATTGGCGTTGCTGGAGCGGACATTGCTTCGTCTTTCTTGTGCGCGGTTGGTTGAGCGTTATACTCTGTACAGTCCACTCTATGTATAGTAAAGATACTCTAGATAGACGCTGCCTTTGGGAGGCTGGGAAGGGTCGGCTGACAAGCAATTCTTGAATGCTCGTGCATGGTTTCTTGGTTGTTGGCGGCTGAGTCAAGGCTGCGAATCCTTCGCGCGCGGGGCTCGAGAACCCCAAGGCCTCGACCCATAACACGTTCCAGCCGGGACAGGTTTCGGCAAATTAGATCTGTCTTATTTGTTGCAACTTTCTTGCACGCGCCGTCCATCTTCCTGAACGGCATATCCTGGCAGATTTCCCAGCTTCCGAAAATGGCAGACCTCGAGTTTGACACGGAGAACACCACCCAGGCGCCACCCAACGACGCTGATCTGAAGAAAGGCTTCGTGCTCAAGGCACCGCCCTGCACCGATCTCTGGGCTAAGCCTCCGGCAACCGTGCGATCCAACGCACCTACAGTCTACAAAGCCCTGCCACTGTCGCGGTTCCAACGTGCTCGGGTCCGCGTTAGTGCCCAATGGAGCACGCTTTACGACCAAGGCGGCCTCGTGATGATCCTTCACCGCGACGACGCCCGAAAGTGGATAAAAACCGGGATCGAGTTCGTCAATGGCAAGCCATACCTGAGCACCGTGGGGAAGGATAACTGGGCAGACTGGAGTCTGGCGCCGGTTCCGGGCGATGGGCGCGAAGCGATCCTCGAGATGGTGAAGGACAAAGGCGTGCTTTGGGTCTACTCGATCGAGCAATGCGAAGACGGCGAGGCGAGGATTCCGATGCGCGAGCTGACTTGGGCGTTTGCGGAGGAGCAAGGCGTAGAGTGCTGGGTGGGGATGTATGCATGTCGGCCGGGCAAGGAGGGCGGAGAGCTGGAAGTGACGTTCCGGGATTTCGAGCTTGAAGTCACAGCCGCGTAGGCAGCAACCAAGCAGCACCAAGCCGCGACAAGCAGTGTTAAGCAGCGGTAGACTCTGTACCTAGAAGACAGCATATTTCTATCTCGAGTCGCCTGTTTCCTTGTCGGCTTCTTCGCTGTCGGCTGCCCGAGCCTTATCAGATCCGACTTTTGCCGAGCGTTTCCCGTTAAGGTTTGGCGGTCACGCGCCAACCCCGCGCTGCGGCCAATCACCGCCCCCGATCACGCCACTGATCTTATCATATCTGATCATCTGCCAAGCCGCATGACTCCACGCGCTTTCCCGCATCGAGTTCTCCGCGTTTCGCTCATCCACCCGCTGTCGATATCCGCCGCCCTTGGACACGCATGCTGCCGTGCGCGAGACCCTGGCCGGGCTCTAACCATAACAGTATCCTTACCCTGTCGGCCCTGCTGCGGGTTGGCGCGCTCTGGTCGCTTCCGCAGGGCGCCGAAAAACCAAGAGCTCGCTTACGATATAGGACGATCAGCCACCTATGTATCAGTCAACCAAGTCTTTCGACGAATCAGTCCCCTGACCGGCTGGCGCATCACAGCCGTTATATTTGCTTTTGCTGGAAGAGTCACTGCTTCAAACTTTGCCCCTCGAAAACCAAACCTGCTAAACTTGTCAAGTTTTCCCTTGCATTGAAATCCCCATCAACCCACCCAGTAATCTGGCAACCATCGACTGTTTCACGACAGTTGTGGTTACGTTACTCAACCCAGCCCAAGAGAACTAACTACCTTTTCTCCCCCCGGTAGTTGGCTACTTCTGCCGACTTGGCTGTTCGTTTTCACACTCCGTCAAGCCTTTTCGAGTCCTGCGCCTCCTGAACACTACGTTTCCATCGAACACTGGTCGAACAAGCGAATAAATTCGATGTTAACAAACTCCCGTCTCTGTACGACCGCAAACCGCCTTCCAGCGGCTGATAATCCCCTCCGCTAAGATCCCGTGCCCCGTTTAAGTCATGGGCCACGAACGTCGCTCACCGAGCCCGACGAATTATGGAGCATTCGACTCGGAGTATCGAAGGCATGGAAATAATGACGAAACCGAAGGTCTTTTGGTCGTGGAACCAAGAGAGGTGCTTGAAGATGAACCTATGTTCGGCGACCCTATGACGTCGTCGTCCGCGTCGCTAAATACCGATGTGCAAGAAGGTGTCCGTAAGATTGAAGCTATTAGCCGGACTTGGACTCAGAAATCTTTGATTATAGCATATTTGGGGTGGGATATTAAGCACTCGCCTTTCCCGACTACCCAGCTAACAGAAATAGTATTTTTTTGATGGCATTTTGCACCTCGCTTGAGGGTCAAACTGTGATGTCACTGTCCCCATACGCAACAAGCTCCTTTAGCAAGCATTCTTTAATATCTACTGTATTGGTCGTTCAAAATGTCATCAACGGTCTGAACCCTTCATTTATTCCCAAACCCTTAGTAAAAATTTTTATCTAACGTTCTTTTCAGCCGTTATCAAGCCTCCAATGGCAAAAGTTGCAGACGTTTTCGGTCGATTTGAAGCGTTTTGTATCAGCGTTTTTATATTCGTTCTAGGTTACGCACAAATGGCAGCATCGAAGAATGTCCAGACATATGCTTCTGCACAGATATTCTATTCCGCCGGTTCGACAGGTCTACAGATACTCCAACAGGTCTTTATTGCGGACAGCAGTGATTTGCTCAATCGTGCATTATTTGCTAGTCTTCCCGACCTACCCTTTTTGGTCACAGTATGGATCGGGCCTATGATCGCTGAATTCATGCTTCGCGAGTTAAATTGGCGCTGGGGCTATGGAATGTGGGTGATACTGCTGCCTGCAGCCTTCTTCCCCTTAGCTATGACTCTATGGCTTAATCAGAGAAAAGCGCGCAAACTTCATCTCATAGAGCCCAGATCTTGGAAAGGGAAGGGGCTTAAAAGTATGCTTCGTAGTGCGTGGTACGAACTGGATCTTTTTGGTCTGGTTCTACTCTCTGCTTCGCTCATCCTCATTTTGGTACCATTGACCTTGGCCGCCAATGCAAAAAATACATGGCAGAATGGAAGTATCATCAGCATGATGGTTATTGGATGTGCATGTTTGGTCTTGTTTCCTTTCTGGGAGACTTCAAACCGACTGGCACCTCACCCACTGCTTTCATTGAAACTTCTTAGGCAGCGAACGGCGCTTGCTGGATGTGCTTTTGCATTTTTCTACTTCAGTAAGCTCATTCTTACCTTGACATCCCATTTTACTAATAGTAAATAGTGGCTTTCTACTTCTCCGTGCAGCCTTACCTCTACTCTTATCTTCAGGTTGTTCAAGGTCAATCTGTTGTCACCGCTGGCCGTGTGACCCAAACTTTCGCCTTTACATCTACGGTCTCTGCGGTTATAATCTCATTCTTCATTAAATATACTGGACGATATCGCCCTTTTGTTACAGGTGGCTGTTTTGTCTATATTGGCGGGCTCATTCTGATGCTATTCACCCACAACGAAGGGAGCAGTGTTATTCAAACTCTTGTCATTCAAACAATTATTGGCTTTGGAGGCGGTCTTGTGAACGTTCCAGTACAACTGGGCGTCCAAGCCTCCGCGAGTCATCAAGAAGTGGCCGCCGCTACAGCTATGTTCTTGACAGCTCTTGAAATGGGAGGCGCCGTTGGCTCAGCCATCTCAGGCGCTGTGTGGACACATTCTATTCCAAAGAAACTTCATAACTATCTCCCTCCTGAGAGCCAAAAAGATGCGGATGCGATATTTGGGCAGTTGACCAAGGCGCTTTCATATCCTATGGGATCCCCAACACGTATTGCCATAAATCGGTCGTACGAAGAAACAATGGGAACTCTTTTGAAAATCGCGGTTTTCGTGACCATCCCGTTGATCCCACTTAGTCTGATGATGAAGGATTACAGACTTGACATGGTATGCTACCGTTCCTAGTTTTAATATTCCTCTATTCGCCTCTATACTAATAACACCTCCCAGATGATCCAGAAAACCAGAGGCAAGATCATCGGCCACCCTGATGTGGAAGATGAATTTGACGCTGGTAGCCGTGCTATTCCTGGACTATCAAGACCGAATTCACGGCAATGATCTCAATAGCTAACAAGTCACTGCCATCTACTCATTGGTTCATTATTGAACTCCAAATCTCTGACACCTTCAATACTTGGCAACACCAGAGGTACATCTATTCTGCAATACTCTACTTCTTCATATGGTGACAGGATATCCTACATACACACACACATATATTTCTGATTTACGTCATATTACGACACGATTTCCTCACGATTTGCATATAATGAAGCGTGAAATCTTGCTCCTACAAATTCTTATCTTTTATAAACCTAGACGGGCCTCGGGTTATAGGTTATCGTTTTGTCTTGCGGCGTTCCTTGGTTATTTGTAGATAATTATTCCTGGCGTGTTTGTATAAGTATTTACGGTTCTGGAATGGAAATTCTTGTTCAAGTATGTTACTTATGAAGACCCTGGGATAAGATTTCCCTCGAAGTCCATTAATGAGGGGAATACTTTGCTGTATAGTACTCGTCTAGAGTGGAGAGCTTTTAAGGAGTGAAGTATGTTACAATCTGACGTGCCATCCTGCGCTCCATTAGATTTCCAAGAACCTGATGGGCTCTGTTAATTTTGATGGGTAATAATCTTTTCTCTTGAACTCAGGGATTAAATTCCCGTTTGTGTTAAGGAATATATCGTCCAGTTTTGTTTCATAGGTGCTATATATTCTTGCTGTGACAAGTCGAAGTTCTGCCCATGCAATACTATCAAAGAACGCGTTAGAGAGAAAGGGACATCTAATATTGGATATCCTCGCGAAAAATAGTGACTTACTTCATGCCTGAGCACATTCTTGCCCCGGAGCCGAACGGCCAAAACATCTTCTGCATCTCTCGGAATTCTGGAGATGCGGTTGGAATATTCCAACGTTCTGGGTTCCATTTGTCTGGACCTGGAAATACTTGCGGATCACGATGGATGGAGTAGGCTTGAGCGTGTATCGTTGTCTATTTAGGGTTACATTTAGGTCTGAAACACGGAGGTGAAATCTGGGGCGGAATAGTTAGCCTTACTCCAGGTGGTATTTTTGCCCCTAGAACTACTACATTTTGGCCTCTCTTCACCTTGCGAGGTAAACCTATCGGAATGGGAGTATGGACCCGAAGTAGTTCGCGCAATACGTTGTTCAAATAAGGTAGCTTCTGAAGTACTAGGATATCCGGATGTATTCCAGTCGAGATTCCTGCTTCGTGCAGCTCCTGCCGGAGTTTATCTTGATGCACTTTGTTCCAAGGAAGGGAAAGTTCCCATATTAGGGCGGAGAAGAGATCGGCTGGAGAAAAATAACCTTCGAGAAATTTTAGTGAATCATCGATATTCTAAGGCAAAAGGCTAAAGCGAACCAGCAATAAAGTGATCAAGACAATCACTGGCGATATAATTCTTGCTCGGTAGAAGTGTAGTCGGCCCGTCTTTCTTAAGGCGAGAAGAGAGGAGTTTGAGATGTGTGGTTATCTCCTCCTTATTATCAGATGTATCAGACAACGCAGCCTCGACTTGTCTCATCCCGTACATCCCAATCTTGTCAGGACCATTTATTGCTTGTAATAAAGTGGCAAATTCTGCAAAGATGTTAATATAGCTTATCTTTTCATACGAAAGGGACAGTGCTAACTTGGAAACAATGTTATCAACAAGGCAATAGGGCCTAGAACAAAATCCAGAGCAGTCATAAGTAACCCCTTGAAGTCTTCTCTCGATGCCTCACTCATTAGAAGATTGGGGTGATTTGACTCTCCGTAAATCTGATGAAGAATGATGTCCGCTGACAGCCACCTCAACCAAGAAGATATTTCCACAGTTCTAGAGGGCGAAGAACTGGCCTTTTCCTCGATTATCTGCATGAACGTGTCAATATACTTTTTGAAGACTGCCTGAACGCCCGGGCTTATGGCGATGGAGTTGGAATAATGGCCAATGACCATCTTCCTGCGAGCCGCATGCCGATCAGCGTCAAGAGTGGTTACAAGGTTTTCTGAGCCGTAGCTCTTGAAAGCAGACAAGGCATCGCCTGCATCCAAACCTCGTGGGCCAGCATATATCTGTGACAAAGCATCTGCATGGCAGAATGAAATCTCATCGGGACTAAGTTGCACAATAGGGCCGTATTTTTGGTGCAATAGGTGATAATGAAGGAATTCTCTTCCTACAAAATGCATCAGAACAAGCGCAGCTGTAAGCCCATGAAGTCTAGCTACCTTTCAACTGCTGCCATCTCATATATAAGACAGTGAATTTGGCAATTCTTGGCCCTGGGAAAGGAGAGGTGAACACACGGAAAACTCCCCGACAAACATCAATGAGAATCCAAATAGCAAATGAAATTCCAATCAACTTCCATGCGGAAGGAAGAAGGGGTATTAGGTTAGCTAGTAGACCCATCGTAAGGACACGTCCTGCTAGCCCAAATGAATAATGAACGCAAGGACAGATGTCGACACAGATATGATGATGGTGCAGATATTAAATATATCTTCAACAGTACTGGATCAACTAGCGACAAGGCGCCAACCTTGTATGTTGTCTGGGCTCTCCGGCCACGGTTCCCCGAGAATGGTTGCATTTGTTCACCCAGTAGAAAGGCGGGTGCCGGGGTCCTAAAGGGCCGACAGGCCGTCGTAAATTACGAGGCGTCCAAGCTTCGGGCGGGCCCCTCGCAGCATCGACAAAGAAAAACTGCGGGGAAAGAAGAGTATCTGCAGCGTTTCACATGGATTTGAAAGGTTTCGCGCAACCAAAAGGCGGTCGATGTTGAATTTCGCAGCAAACCCAGAGATAACCCAATCCGGTAAGGCGCACTATGGGAAGATTTGCCAAGATTAGAGGCTGGAAGAGGCTTAGCGCCACATAGAATGACAAATCCACGCTAGCCGTATTTGTGCGTCCTCGTAAGAGGCTGTGATTTATCAATGAACAGGTGTGAGCTGAACGGACAACGGTGCTGTCAGATCGACACGAGGTGAGCTGGACTCAGTGGCAGCTCGCTTATATCCGCGAGGCGCAATGCCAGTTTTGATTTGTCCACGAAGGACTATTTCTGGAAACATTCTACGTTTAGACAAACCCTGGAATGCTGATAAAGGACGGCCAGCCGCCTTGAAAGATGAATTTCCTCGGGAGATATCCAGCTTACGAGCTGAGTTAGAACATTCCACGCAATTGACTTGACTAACAAATTTCTTCGTTGTACCTTAATTGCGGTTTCTTGTTTCCAGGTCGATTCGACTCTATGGACCCAAACCGGGTGTTTTTTGTCGACAAGGCAAAAGCAGCCTTAGGCCCCGTCTATCACATTTTTGATACCGATAAGACCACGCGGCTCTATTCCATAGAGACATCACGAAAGTCGAAACCGCATGTCACAGTGACTCGCCATCGGCACCCTTACCAGGAGCCATACCAACAACACCCACAAGACGTCGTTGTCGGCAGCGCGACCTTTCACAGCCTATCCTCCAAGATCGATGTCTCGCTAAAGGCAGAACCAAGGCCAGTAGATATCACAATGAAGCGCTCGGATCCACTTGCGTGCGGGCGAAAATTCGAGTCACCACTGGGAAAGCTGCAGTGGAAAGAGGATGGCAGCATGCTCACAAGCAACATAAAATTGGTCGACCAGCACAAGCGCGTGATAGCTCGGTTCGAGAAACAGTCGTCTTTTTTGTCGCGCCGGAAGGATAAATTCATATTGCTGGTTCAGGAACCTTGCGCTCTTGACAATTTCGACATGATCGTCGTTACAGGCTTTGCTTCGATTGAGTACGCCCGCAGATCGGACAAGGAATGGGATAAGGCAGGGGAGGAGTTGCTTAAGGCCGCTGGGGAAGCTGCTGGAGTCTAGATTCTCATTTTATTTTTTCAATTCCTAGCTATCGTACGATTTTTCTTTTCCCACAGTATCGCGCTGTTTCACTCTTCGCCTGTAGAGAAAATGACATGAGCTGAGTTTCTTTCACCTCGGAGTGCTCATAATCCTACAGTCGGCCGAAGCTAGACCGTCCTCGATACCATTTGACAGAGAGTAGCTGATCCTTACCTCAATTGGACGGGCAACGTTTCTTTTCTACTCACGCACCGCTCTGCAAGGGTGGAAATGATGCCGCGCACCCACGCGTATGGTAAACTTCCGCCGACAACGTATCCCGGCCACATACCTGCTGCCTAGGCACAGCTGATATCAGTGCTTGTGTACGGGATATACACGCGATGAACAGGTTCCAGTAGGTATTCGACAAAATCCCCACCCGGGTGCTCAAACTGGGGGTTGAAACCATGCAAACACTGCGCAGATGAAACGGTCGAGAAGTGCCAGCTGTTCTGAAGCCATGGCATTCCTTATCGATAGGGGGCTCAGGACCCATCGGCACGCACTGTCAGCGTCATTTGCGCAGTTTTTGACCTCACACCGCAAGACCTCGTCAGTCCAGGCCTTTGGAGTGGTGTTATTCTATATTTTACCCTTTTTGCAGCCGGTGCAGACTCTCAGAGACGGCGAAGAACAAAGCTATATACAGATGGATATCCACGCATAGCCCCCGCGAGCCATATAATACAATTGTGGGTATGTACGTATGTATGTCGTGGCAAGGCGGCAAAGCGCGCGGCAATGCATGAACATTTCGATGCCTGATGCACCTGACGCACCAGTGCTGGAGGCGTTGGCAGCGCTTCCGGCCATAGCATGCTAGGACGGGTGCCCATTATTCCTGGCAATTTCGAGCGAGGTATTCTCCGCATTTCAAACATCGAACTAGGCTGCTGGAGAGGCTCAGTCTGTCACATACCAAGGGACATGGATTCGGACGAAACTGCGCGAAATTGACAGGCTGGCAGGCCGGCGGGCGAGCAAGCAGCGCGCCAGCGGTTCGCCCACCGTGAGGTCTGCACAGCGACGAGGCGTCGAAACACGTCTTGGGAGCGTGCTGTCGCCGGCGATTGGCTTGGAGAGAGGATCCTCTGCAGCGTCTCCGCTGGAGAGTTAGTTAGTTAGCGGGCGAGGCTGTCATCATCCGGGCGGCGTTTCAGGCTAGGATTCACCTGGCATCGCGGCGCACCCTCGCACGCAGGCGATCATCGGGAGACGGCGCAGCGCACGCTGTCATGAGACGGGCTCCACGACAGCGTCTCACCCATAGAGTAGATAGCATAGCTAGCTAGCTAGCCAACTCACTAGCAGGAAAAAGCCACCGGGCGGGAGCAGCAGCAACAGCAGCCGCGGATAGTATCGCGGGCCGGGACGTTCGCTGGCGGACAGCAGCCCCAGACAGATCAGAAACGGCGGGCAGCGGCGGCGGCAGGCAGTCTGAGGCAGCGATGCGGAGAACCCTCGGCCGCGCGGGCTGCGGGTGGTGGTGGTGGTGGTGCTGGCGGGCAGCTTGTGGGCGCTGGTTGGGTTGGGGTTACGCCCCCTTTTGGCTTTTTCGCGCTGGTCGCTCGCTCGCCCGCCCGTCTCAAACCACCAGCAGAATCAGCCCAGATCAAGTCGATACGAATTCACTGCTTGCTGCGTGAAACATCGTGCCCGCCGCCCTCTGCCCGCTCCGCTGCGCTGCGCTGCTCTGCCCAATACCCGCCTGTCCGTCCGCAGGCAACTCGCCAGGGTCTCGCTGGTCCCTGAGCGCGCGTTCTGCTGCGTCGCCCGCCGCCCACCTCGCCTCCCCGTCGTAGGTTGCCCGTCTGTCCTGCCCTGCCCCGTCCTGTCCTGTCCTGTCCTGCTCTTCTGTCGTGGCTTGCGCTGTGCTGTGCTGTGTCGTGCTATGTGCGTATGTGTGTGTTGACCGGCAAGCCTACCGCCCAGCTCCTCTTCTGCTCCCTCGTTTCGCTCCGCTCTCGCCCTGAATCCGCCGTCACTTTCTGGCTGTGTCACCGGCGCCAACTCAGGTCGTGTTGACGGAACTCCCCTGCCCGCCGTCTTACCGCCTCACCTGCGATTCACTGCCGTATCCTGCTCGTCGGGGTCGTGGTCGTCGCCGTCGTCGTCTGCTGCCAGCCACTTTGCAGCGTTTGTCGTCTCCAGCCGCCGCCGTTGAGCATCCTTGTTCACGCCCGCTTCCCGTCGTTCCCAGCCGTGCCTCAAAAAAAAAGGGACCATCCAAATCTTCACAGGTGTGATTCTCGTCTGCTGCCACAATGGTTGTTGCTACGATCAAGTAAGTGAGGTGGTTCCCTGCACGGCAGGCTCACCTGTCGCAACGACATCATCACCCTTCCTCTTGGGCTGCTAGCTAACAACCCTCCCTCGCCTCTCCAGGTGCGTTGTCGTCGGCGACGGAGCGGTTGGCAAGACCTGTCTATTAATTTCATACACCACGAACAAGTTCCCTTCCGAATACGTCCCCACGGTCTTCGATAACTATGCTGTTACGGTAATGTGAGTTACGCCGCCCCCTCTTCTGCCTCCCACAGAACGACTGCCCATGCGTGCTGGGAATACCGGCCTAACATAGCTGGCAATTTAGGATTGGAGACGAGCCCTACACTCTGGGTCTTTTTGATACCGCTGGACAGGAAGATTACGACCGCCTCCGCCCGCTGTCCTATCCGCAGACCGATGTCTTCCTCGTCTGCTTCTCCGTCACGTCTCCGGCTTCTTTTGAGAACGTGCGAGAGAAATGGTTTCCGGAGGTCCGCCATCACTGCCCGGGCGTGCCGTGCTTGATCGTCGGCACCCAGACCGATCTGCGCGATGACGCCGCGGTGCGCGAAAAGCTGTCGAAGCAGAAGATGGTCCCCGTCCGCAAAGATGATGGCGAGCGGATGGCGAGAGAACTGGGCGCGGTCAAGTACGTCGAGTGCTCTGCCCTCACCCAGTACAAGCTGAAGGATGTTTTTGACGAGGTAACACTCCCTCCCTACTCTCCCACACCCCCAGCTTCGTGATACAGCTACTAACCACCTCGCCTTCCGTCAGGCTATTGTTGCCGCCTTGGAGCCTCCAAGCACCCGCAAGAAGTCTCGCGTCTGCAAGATCTTGTAATGTTTAAATTTACATTATGCGACGGCGTTCTGGCAAAGTATAGCGATCTTCCCTTCCAGATACTCCTAGATTAGCTTATTCCTTGTTTTATTGCGCCATCGAGCATGCCCTCGCAACCTGGATTGAACTGGACAGTCATATATAACTTCTGTCGTGTCCACCAAAGCACACAAAGACAATGTGATGATGGCATTATGAAGGGGATTTTTTTTAAGGAAGGCGTGTGAAATGGCGAATCTTTTAATCGGGATGGGATTGTGTGTTTTTCCTCTTCGTGTTTTTCCCCCGCCCTGTGCAATTCATCCTGTTGCCCTCCCTCTTCCACCCACCCCTGGCCCTGTGTTCGCTTTTGTCCCGTTTATTTCAGCTATTATTGTGATTGACGAGACAAAAATCACAGGCTACCAAGGCAGATTGATGAATTGATTCCATTTAATAAGTTTCCTAGATTGCCCTACTCATCCTAGTGTCTAACCGTTTTCCCCCCAGCTCTTCTATATCAAACAAGCTACCACATGATCTCTATGAAAAGCTTGAATTTGAATGCTTTCCTACAAGGTTCATACTGTGTGCAATGGTGGTAATTTCTCGGTATTCTTCTATCCCGTACATATTCCTTGTTTCCTGCCTAGAGTCCCCACAGAAGCAAGTGTGCTTGTTTCTTTCTAGTGACATACTTGACTGTGACTAAGGCAGTGTTTGACCTCGTATCTGCTACAACTGGGATATTGTGCCCCATCTTTCACTTCGTTGAGCAACTCAGTTACTAACATCTAGTCCCGTTTAAAATCCTTTGCTTCGTAAATCATATCAATTCAGCTTCGATCCTGGTATGTAGCACTAACTTGGGTATCTACGACAGTATATACGGAGTATAGTATATGGATGAGAGGGCTAGCCAACTGTTTGTAAGACGTGCATCACAACTCATCACGGTTGTTCTGATGCTCCTGTCCAGTAGCCGCTTTGAGCTCCAGCTTCACCATACTGGACAACAATTCATACACCACTTGGGCAGCGGCAAGTGCCGTGCCTTCGGCTTGGCCGTCGTAACTAGGCGAAACCTCCACTATATCGGCCCCTACGAGATTCAAATTCTCAATGCCACGAAGGATTCTAATCAATTCTCGGGTCGTCCAACCACCCGGCTCCGGCGTGCCTGTTCCTGGAGCGATGCTAGGATCAAGAACGTCAATATCAAGGCTTAGATATACAGGCTCATTCGGGGATAAGCCAACACGAGAAATAATGGTCTCGATAACCCCTTTGGCGCCAATGTCATCAATGTCATCGGCATGGATCCGCAAAAACCCCTGCTCCGGCCCCGGGTTTGTATAGTCCCCATCATCCGTACCCGTGAGACGAGTTCGGAGCCCCGCATGAACTGAGCTGGTATTTGAGATGATGCCCTCGACACTAGCTGTATGGAAAAAGCTGCCGTGCGTGAAACGGGACTGCTCGGAGGCCCAGACGGAGGAATACCGCAAGGGATTCCACGTATCGAGGTGCGCATCGAAATGCACCACTGTGATCGGGCGACCATAGATCTTGTATAGCGCACGCAGCGCCGGAAGTGCGACGCTATGGTCGCCGCCCAGCGTAACGAGCTTGGCCTTACCCTTCTTTGGCGTTGGCCGCTTCCCGAGCTCCAGGAACGCTTCGTACATTTGCCGTTCCGCGACGCTGTTGTCGAATGGCACGACGGGAATGTCGCCACAATCCAGAATCCGCGCCCAGCTCATATACGGATTAATTCCTGCCCGGTGGTTGAACCCAAGCCCTGGCATCTGGCGGGCGCTGGCGGCGCGAATGGCCCGCGGGCCAAAACGAGCGCCCGGCCTATACGAAACGGCTGTGTCGAACGGCGCTCCGATGATGGCAATATCAAAGAGCTCATCGGGCTCGACGAGGCACTTTACATGTTTGAGATGGGCAAAGGTGGAAATGCCTGCGAATGCCCACTGAACGAGGCGTGTGTGTCAATAGGTATTTAGCGGCGACAGAGCAAACAACTACATATAGCTGCAGGGATGTGAATTATTTTTGAGGATAATACGCCCCAAGCTAGGGATTGATTGCAGGTTTTGCTTACTTCCTGTTCCCACTTCGCGAGTGACGCTGCGGCGCTGGAATCAATTGGACGTTGGCCGTCTTCGTGGTTCTGATGGCAATCGGCGAATTGCAGATAGGCCGATAAAGCAAGGAAGACACTCTGTAGATGTAGAATCATATTCTCCGTTGTCCAAAAGCCTGGCACAGTGAAATGCTGTGACACGAGGCTGGTCGGGGCGCCAATGCAGGCCACGAGTGAGATTGCCGGTTCGGTGCGATTGCCGGGGAAACAAAACGCCGCGGATTCTTGTCTTCTCCGAACAGCTCGAGATTATCTGAGGTCTGATTGGAGCTAACTACTCGCCCCAAGCACGGAGAAGGATACCCATTCGCTGGAGTTACTATGAGAAGTTCGAGATGACTTTGCGCGTGTTTGCGGATCGCCGTTGGTTTTTTGCTGTACCTGAACTCCCCTATGCGCTAAATTTGATGTAATGCGACGCGTGGTGGTTACGGGACTGGGCGCTGTGACTCCCTTAGGAACCGGTAAGCGGGGGTCAATGGTGTACTCCCCAGTATCGCCTGGGGATTTGCGTCTGTTAGCTTGATAAGACTGACTGAGCTGAACATCCAGGTGTTCGCCACACCTGGAAACGTCTGTTGGACGGCCAGTGTGGTATCGTCTCTGTGAAAGACAGACATCCGGGGTTTGCAGAAATACCATGTCAAGTTGCCGCTGTTGTGCCCCGAGGGCCAAAGCAGTTTGGTGGCTGGACTTCATCTGAATGGGTTACCCGTGATGTGAGTTGCTTGAAAATGAAAAAGTGCGCTGCCGAAATCCGGCGATTTCACCGCTGATATTCCGGTATCGCTCGCTATAGGAAGAAAGAAAGACAGCATTATTCACTCAGTATGCACTGGCAGCCACTGAGGAAGCTCTCAGTGATGCCGGCTGGAAGCCTGAGGCAGAAGATGCTAAGGAAATGACAGTATGATCTGGCAAGCTGTTGTCATATAACCTTTTGCCTAATTCATGCTATAGGGTGTATGCCTGGGCTCCGGGGTAGGAAACCTCGAAGAAATATACAACACTTCTCTTGCGTATGCAGGAAATTTATCTGGTGGTGGCAAGGTGTGCCTCAATGCTTATATCTGTTTTATCCCCTAAAACATCGATATTGCTAACACTGGCATATTACAATGTAGGGATATAGGAAAATTCCGCCCTTATTTGTACCAAAGTCCCTCACCAATCTGGGCGCTGGGCATCTCTCAATGAAATATGGCTTCATGGTAACACACCGTCTCTTATTTCTCTCTGAGGAGTGCCAGACTAATTCTCTCAGGGCCCGAATCATGCAGTCACGACTGCATGCACTACTGGTGCTCATTCAATAGGTGATGCCGCCCGCTTCATACTATATGGAGATGCGCATGTCATGGTCGCTGGAAGTGCAGAATCCTGTATTCACCCTCTTACGATCGGTGGTTTTGCCAGGGCTCGCAGTTTAGCCACCGGTTTCAATGACCGGCCTGAAAAGGCGTCTCGCCCATTCGACAAAGACCGTCAAGGTTTCGTAGTGGGCGAAGGGGCTGCTATACTTGTCCTCGAGGTCTGCTCAACTCCCCCTAGTCTATTTGCTTCTCTACCTTCTAACCATTTCTAGGAGTTGCAACACGCGAAATCCCGTGGTGCGCGGATATATGCGGAGTTGAAAGGCTACGGGTGCTCTGCCGATGCGTACCACATGACGGCACCGCAGGAAGGAGGCAAAGGGGCTGTACTGGCCATGAGACGTGCTTTGAAAAATGCCGGTTTACCTCCAGGTAAGATTGACTACATCAACGCACATAGCACGTCTACTGTGATTGGAGACGCGGCAGAAAACGCTGCGATTACACAGCTGTTCCTCGGGTCCGATGGTAAGGAAAAAGAATCGGATATCAATGTTAGTAGCACCAAAGGTGCCATAGGGCACCTTTTGGGTGGTGCTGGTGCTATCGAAGCAATATTTTCTATCCTTACGATCCACGAGGTAGGAACCCAATGCTTTCCTCTGATAGCATAGTAGCTAACACAGCTTTTGTAGCAAATATTGCCACCAACGATCAATCTCGAAGATACCACCGATGACTTCCGCTGCAATTATGTACCGAACGTAGCACAAGACCGACGTGTGGATGCTGTGCTTACGAACAGTTTTGGCTTTGGCGGTACCAATGCGAGTTTATGCTTTGCCAAATTTTGAGCACCTTCGGATTAATGGTTACCCCGCTATTCCTTCCAGTAACTTACACACTCGAATACGTCAATTTCCGACATTTTTACCGGCATCGGAATAATATGTTACCTAGCGTCTTGGCAATATTATGTTTGTATGATTTTTCTTGTGTGATTGTAGCACAACTAGGTAGCAAGCAAATATATCTATTTGGACGCTTTTCAAATGGCGTGCTCCAGAAAAGTGGGTGTTTTGGGGGGCGGGCAGCTGGGGAGAATGTTAATGGAATCCGCCAACCGACTAAATGTGCAAATGAACATCCTAGATGCGGAGAAAGCCCCCGCAAAACAGATCTCTTGGAATGATAACCATGTCACCGGCTCTTTTATGGACCGTGACTCCGTACGCAAGCTGGCCGAAAATAGTGACGTGTTGACTGCTGAAATTGAGCATGTTGATACATATGCGCTGGAAGAGGTCGAGTCATTGGTTGATGTCCAACCGAGCTGGAACAGTATCCGGATTATTCAAGATAAGTTCGCACAGAAAGAACATTTAGCCAAATTTGGGATTCCGCAGGCGGAGTACCGGGAGTTAAAAAATGGCACAGCAGAAGAACTGAGCTCAATTGGAGAGGAGCTTGGTTTTCCCTTAATGCTAAAATCGAAAACTGGGGCTTACGATGGCCGAGGTGAGGGACCAGCTACTTCGTTCTAAAATTCTTATTTCATTACGTTTTGGGAAATTTGTAGCTAAATACGGGACTTAGGCAACTTTGCTGTGAAGTCTAGGGAGGACATACCAGCAGCATTGGAGGCGCTGAACGGTCGGCCCCTTTATGCAGAGAAATGGGCAAGTTTTGTAATGGTATGCGAGAGTCATATGGCGACTATGAAGCCTGAGCTCACTTCCTAAATAGGAACTGGCTGTCATAGTCGTGAAGACAAAAGATGCCGTCTTGTCATACCCTACCGTTGAGACAGTGCAGGAGAATTCGATATGCAAGCTTGTCTACGCTCCGGCGAGAAACGTTTCAGATGATATTAATAGGGCGGCCCAGAAGATTGCGCGAGATGCAGTTGCCGCATTTGATGGAAAAGGCGTCTTTGGCGTCGAAATGTTCCTCCTAGAAGACCACTCGATACTACTTTGTGAACTTGCTAGTCGCGTTCATAATTCTGGACATTATACTATTGAAGCATGCGCCGTATCTCAATTTGACGCTCATTTGCGGGCGATATTGGATCTTCCGATCCCTGCGAAAAGCCTCGAACTCCGTCAGCCCGCGATTATGCTGAATATATTAGGCGGGTCTACTCCCGATGCACACTTAAAAATCGCAGAGTCCGCTTTATCCATACCGAATTCAGGAGTTCATCTTTATGGAAAAGGTGCTGGCAGGCCAGGACGCAAAATGGGGCATGTTACAGTCACGGCTCCCACAATGCGCGAAGCTGAGGAGCTTATTCAACCTCTTATTCAGCTTGCAGATGGCGATGGCGCAAAGACAAATATCTTATCAACGCCCCGGCCGACCGTTGGTGTGGTTATGGGGTCGGACAGTGATTTGAAGACACTAGTTCCGGGCCTCAAATTGCTTGAGGAGTATTTTAATATCAAACTAGAGGTCGATATCACGTCTGCCCATCGCACCCCTGATTATATGGCTGAGTATGCTTCTACAGCCGCATCGCGCGGTATTAAGGTTATCATCGCCGCCGCGGGCGGAGCTGCTCACCTTCCCGGCATGGCAGCTGCTCATACATCCCTGCCTGTTATTGGCGTACCAGTAAAGGGCAGTGCCCTAGATGGCGTTGATAGTCTATACAGCATTGTACAGATGCCTCGAGGTGTGTAGTTTACCTATCTTCCTGGTCGCATAGTTTACTTATTGACCCTTTGAATGCAGGAGTTCCAGTTGCAACTGTGGGTATTAACAATAGTATAAATGCAGCACTACTGGCTGTTCGCATACTCGGGGCCCATGATGATAGTTTACGGAGGAAAGTTGAAGCGTATGCAAAAGTCGCGAAGGATGAAAACCTAGACATGAAGGGGGTTAAGATGCGCGAGATCGGCTGGGAAAAGTACTTTGCGCAAATGCAAAACAAGTAGCCTTTTTGATAGGCGCCTTGTAGATATATGCGAAGTAGTTACACATTATCTAATTATCATTTACTAGATGCATAAGGCCTCACTGGTCTATAAGGGGGTGTCATAGTGAACACGAAAGGTATAATTCAATTTTAAAATATATTAAAATAGTCAGTGAGTGAGAACTTAAAGTACAAATGGAGATGAGAAAGCCCCTTTATATACCCATCCATATCATACACCGGGAGGTTCAGTTTCTCTTGACCATTTAAAATTCGGCGGCCGGTAGACTTACGGAGGAGGATGTTTCGGCGACTAAGAGGGTGGGCCTTCTCGAGTATAGTATGGGCACTGGGGGCGAAAAACTTGGGTAGTAAAATAGGACTTGAGACATTGTGGTAGAGATAGAGGAGCTGTTGGTAAAAATGGTCCATCCACCTCTACTTAAATTACTAGGTTGCTTGCACCATATTGCTTCTCTATCTGGTAGAGCCGCCTTCTGCCGGCTCGCCCTGACTGCCTAGAATAGATAGGTGAGGGAGGAGGCCGTTTGCTAGACTGATTATAACGCTCTATGTTGCACTGTGGCGATGTATGTGCATCCTGCGGACTTATTAGAGGTATTAAGAGCCGCACGCCTAAAATTGCTGTATGCAGACAAGGCCCAGGGTGGACTCGACTTCTATAAGCTCTTTTTGGCTTGGAAAATCAGTCGCATCCTCTGCTACCTCCGTAGGCATGGGCTTTTTGGGGAACGACGTTCCGGCTCATAGCCCTATCTGGAGAGGATTGTCAGAAAACATTAAGCACCATGCATCTGCTTCTACGTACCCGATATTGACGCGGATCCTTGTTTTCTTGAGATTGGCTTTTTTCATCATTAATCGTGATCGATAGTGGGGAATCCTGGGGAGGCTTAGCTACGGCATACCAGAATGGCCAGAAGGAAACAATGAAAAATAAGAAAAGCTAGGGTAAAGCCCTATCTCACCACCTCACTCACCGCCTTCCAGCTCATTACAAATTTTATGAAGATCATCATCAAAGTTTAAATATTCAGAAACTTAATAATTGTAATATTTTTAAATACAATATATTAATATATTTATTTAAATTAAACTGACTGTAAAA